GCTTTCCCAACATAACCTTTCTCTCATTAGATCATTTCATGCAGTTGAATTTAATCTCAGTGCATATGCTCTGCTTTACATTTCTCTATCACTATCATTTTAGTAGCCTAGCACTGTTATTTTTGTCTTATTTTTAAAAATGTGCTGTCTCCTCTATATACAATATAGATTGGATATGTCTATTTTTGTGTTCACTTTTATCTGTCGATAACACTATCCACGTTGTAACTAAGCACATCCAATAAAGAATTACAAAAAAACATGATTGTCAAGTGATTCATGTTGTTTTAAGCTGTGTTTTTTCCTTATGTTGAAACTTTTTGCTAGTATCTAAAGGCATGCAGTTGCGAGATAAACAAGATTAAATCCCTTACCTCCAATAACATATTGTATTTACAAAGCAATACAAAACTAAATGTAGATCAAGAAAACAAATACAAAGCAATGGAATTAGAAGTCCCTCATGAAGCAACACTTACATTCATATTTGCTCCAGAGCTGATTTCATCCTGCAAAGAAATCTTTAAATGCCTCTGCCAGGAATTAGTCATATCCTTCTGCATCTTTGCAGGGAGACTGTAAATGGGAGTCCTCCCACCACATTGCTGCAACAAGGGAAGAGGAGGACTCTAAGTATACCAAAGGGATTCTTACTAGCCTGTATTGTACAGATACATGGTATAACTGTACTCACATTCATCAATTCTTACACATTACCATAAACAGATTATTATGACTACAAGACTAAATTGGTAAAGAGACTTGAAATGTTCTCATTTAAAACCTTCAAAACTATTAACTTTGTTAATATTAAAGTTATTGGTAAAGGGTCTCTATAGTCACAATAACCATTACGGCTTAATGTATTGGTTATGGTGCTTATATCCTGCCCCTGCAGGGTTTTCAATGTAAACACTGTTTTTTCATAGAAAAGGCAATGTTTACATTGCTGGCTAGTTACACCTCTAGTGGCAGACACTCAGACAGCCATCAGCGGTGATTTCTGTGTCAGTGCACGCTCGGCATGGAGGCGCTAAATGTTCCCCATAGAGATGCATTTATTGCAGATGCTGATTGGTGCAGCACTGTATTTTGCCACACATGTGCTTGTGCTTCCTATGGGAAGCATTGGATTGGCTGAGATCATCAAGTTTGATGATCACAACCATAGAGTCGGAGCCAGTTATGGCGAGACCTTTCTCTTGCGAACGGGGGTTGGGGAGCCCAGGACCTAAACAGTTAGTGTAGCAGTATAGAGACAGGAATATATGTTTGTTCCTGATACTAAAGTGTTCCTTTAATATTGTTAGAAATTCCAAGATTAATTAACAGATTTTAAGGCTAAATGTTTGATATTTTGCTACTAAAAAAAGAACTAACTTTATATTACCTATACATACCTATACAATTTTAATTGCGTTCTCACAATCTATAATTATTTTCTCCATGCTATTACAATAAATAACAGTAAATCTCATAAAAGATTAATTAATAGCCCATTGTCAATCTAACCTCTTTATCTCCCAGTATTATCTGCAATCCAAGGAGCTCTATAAACAGGCTGCACACAGCTTTACTCTGCATAAAGGTTCCTGAGCTGTTGCAATAGAGAGAACATAAGCGAATGGAATTACAGGAAATTCTAGTGCCCCATTCTATAAAGGCAACATTGAGTTGTTGGACAAAGAATTATTTGGCTGCACTATCACTAATGTTTTTAATCATAAACAATTGAGCTGTTACTAGAACAAAGTTCCACTTACTTGGACTCTCTGCAAGTCAAGGCTAAATAGGGTCATGGAATGAGGCCCCAGCAGCACCCTATAATTTATGCATGTTCAGGTGAGTGCAGCCCTCTTGGTTTAATTTATATATTTGGGAGTCCAGGCCAACTCCTTGGTTTTGCACCCCTCCCTGTCACATGATGTGCCTCATTCCAGGACCCTATTTAGCCTTGACTTGCAGAGAGTCCAAGTAAGTGGATTAATCTCATAAGAGCAAGCATTAGTCTGCTAGAGTAGGACCTGCCAAGAATGTAGTACATTGACGTTGTGGCAGGCTTATGCAATATATGATCATATAATGTAACTAAACCCCCATTATTTTTTTGCCTAGGTGAAGTGGTTTTATATAAAACTATTACAGTCTCTAAGATTTGAAATCATTGTTTAGTGAATAAGCGAGTACACTGGATTTTGTATTTCGTATATATATGTATGTATATATATATATATATATATATATATATATGTGTGTGTGATTTATAAGCTCAGTTGCCCATGTGGCCTTAATTATGTTGGGAAAACTGAGACTGCACCCTGCGAGAGAATTCGGGGACATAAGTCAAGTATCCGGTTTGCCCATCGACATAGGCAAACCTGTGGCCAGACATTTCCTGGAGAGCCAACACCAACTCTCAACATTGAGATGTATAGCGATCAATCATATCCCGATGCCGTTTCGAGGAGGGGATAGAGCTAAATTACTCTTACAGCGAGAGACATTTTGGATCCTTGAGTTGAATACTCTGTCCCCAAATGGACTGAATGAAAAGTGTTCTTTCAGTCCATTTTTGTAACGTATGAGTGAGTTTTCTACTCACATGTATATAATTTATATAGGAATGTATTTGTGTTTATAATTGAGAATACATTAGGAGCTTTATAGATTACTGTCTTTATCTATTTTTCTGTTTTATTTTTGCATTTTTATTTCTCCCACCACCGTTATAGACTTCATCTCCAAGTTAGGAGACGGTCCATATAACATTAACTACCCTTTATAAAATGAGTATTACTTGATGAAGCTTCTGTACATCTTTAAGGTCTTTATATTGGGTACTATTAATATTTTTTTGTTTGCACGTTTGAGATATTCTATTATGCACATGTCACTTTTTGTCATAGTATATTACTATTTAACATTCACTTAGTAGGGCACAATTGGGTGCTATATTTATTTATAGAACCCTTATTTACTTATACTATATAGTATAGTAAGTCTATCTGTTTTTATTTTCGATTCTCACTTTTCTAGTGATAGTATATTACTTTATTATAAGTCTATAGAGGGCTTTTTGGAGTTATATTTATTATTAAATTACTCACACATTTTCTGTCTAACAGTACCACTGTCACTTTAAATCCACGCTGGGTCTTCGTTCAAACTACATTTGCCCAGCGATCAGATATATATCTTTTTTAATAAAAATTTTTTTTGATTCCACACCATAAGTATGTATATTTACTACTAGACCATATTACAGGATCTAATTAAATTCTTTTTGCTGTTGATTTATCTAGTATATTTACACACTAGGCCATCGGAATAGGAATTTATTTTTCTTAAAATTCTTTCTCACGAACTGATTTACATTAATGTACTACTTAGACTATAGGGAATAGTTGTTATTTTATATTGTTATACGCTTTATTTCCCTTTGAACTTTATTGTCATATTGGGCTAATTGGAGTCTTTGTACAAAATGTATTAGCCTCAGTGAGACGAACGACTGGTTGCCATAGAAATATGCTATTTAGAATGAGAGATGTGGGCGGGATCCCAATACACACATTCCGTCGGAGGTCAGCGGCCCTTTGAGCAGCCAATAGCCGATTGTTATCGGCGGTTGCCAGGGTAACGCTTACACGCTGAAGTAAGACATGAAGGGGTGGTCCCAGCTCTCTATACACAGGGAATTAACCCAGCGATTTAATTAAGCACCATGACGCCGATCAGCCGTCCCACGAGGAAACAGCTGAAGGGGGTGAGTCATTAATATTTTATCATTTAGTCTGTATATAAGCCTGTTGTTTGTAAGATATTTTTTTGTGTGTCCTGATGAAAGTCCCAGATTAGGAACTGAAACGTCAACTAAGACAATAAAACTGCTTAATGTTGTAAATCCAGGAGTGCCGGCAATCGTTTATTTTTATATATAATTATATATATATATATTAATATTGAAGTACACTTAGGCTGTGTGTGTATATATATATGTATATATATATATATGATCTAAGTATGTATTATTTTATTTTACACTGTTTTTATCCTATATTTTACTTTATTACAGGCAGCAGGGGGGCTACCTGTTATTCCAGGCACTCCCCCTGTTGGCACTGCTATGGACGGCTATTCCATCCATGTGATCATGAGGTCCTCGCAAGGACATCACGATCACATGGCCCAGGAGGGCCATATCAGACGCAGGACGACTGCCTGGGAAGTCCCCCCATCGAGATGCCATACTATGCCGCCTGCCGGCGTTTAGAGCCGAGTCCCCAAGGACAGCATAGCACGCCCGCCGTCCTTAAGGGGTTAATGAAGAAGTTTTGGTGTATAGATCATGCCCCTGCAGTCTCACTGATCAATTATCTGCTATTTAGGAGTTAAATCATTTTATTGATACAGCCCTAACCACACCTTCCTGCATTGCACAGTCTTCCTTAACACTTCCTGTAAAGAGAAATCTAATATTTAAACTTCCTTTATTGCATATTCTGTTTAATTAAGAATTTCTTACCTCCTGTTTTGTTAATATCTTTCTAGACCTTGCAGCAGCCTTCTGTGTGTGGTAAAAGTTAAATTGAAAGAGCAGGAGATAAAAACTTATAAAGCAAGTTAACATCTGCTTGACAATAAAACTATTTTTTTCATGCAGGCTCTGTCATTAGTGTTGAATAGACAGAAACAAATGTGATTTAACTCCTAGATTGCAAAAAAAAAAAAAGAGCGGTGACACAGTAGAGGCATGATCTATACATTCCAACTCTTTAATTAATCTAAAGTTGCTTTGGTGCCTAGTGTCCCTTTAAGAAGTGGTAAAGTACAGTGTGATATGAAAAACACCATAGTTATGTGATAGCTGAGTGTTGTCCATAGCCAGTGTAGTACAATGCCTGATCAGAAAGGTCTTACCTATAGTTAGTGCAGGAGGGTGTACAAAATGTGCACATGGACAATCTAAGAAGCACAGTTAAATACAATTACATGGGTTAGTAATTCAGGCACAGCATGTTTGTAGTCAATAAAATGGCAAAGGATAATTTATTATGATGCATTTAATTTTGGTGTAGTATCATTTAGAAAATAAACTCAGACACAAGGCAACAATGTTAGCAAATTTATTGATTTAACATTCATTTTAACATACCACTTTCAGCATTATAATTTGTTAATTAATCCGATAATCAATTTCTTTAGTCCTGATGCGTTGTGCAAACTTCTAAGTATGTTACGGGTTTCTTGTAAGCTTTTGCTTGTCTAAAAACATAGATAAATATAAAATATATCAACATAATCCTAGTAGACTATAAATAATTATTTAACAATGTGAGTGAATACATTGCATATATTCTTCATTCTCTCTCACATAATGTGGAATTTGGAAATGTATCGATGAGTGTGTACACAGCAACCTCTCCCCACAATGATGTTCCCGACATCCCATAATAAATAATGGGAAGTATCCATACAAGCTGAGACCCTTTGGACATTCACACAGGGAGGTATTAGCTGCGAGGCAAACAAGGCATTTGCCTTGGGTGGCATTTTTCAGGGAGCGGCAAAAAACGCTGGCTGGTGGTCGGGCGGGCAGCTGGCGAGGGAGCTCTTCCTCTGAGCAGTCTGCTCAGCTTCCACGCGCGCCGCAGAGTGAGGCTGGGAGCCGGGTTGATGACGTCATATTCCTGGCTCCAAGCCTCACTTTGCGGCGCGCAAGGGAGCTGAGCAGTCAGCTCAGAGGAAGTGCTCCCTCGCCAGCTGCCCGCCCAGTAGCCAGCCCAACAGCCCGACCGGCAGCCACTGGACCACCAGGGAGAAAGAGGAACCGCCCCAGCACTCCCAAAGGTAAGGAGGCTCGGGGAGGGGTTAAATAAAAAAATAAAAAAAGGTGTTAATGTTAGTGATTGTGTGTGTGTTTGTCTGACTGTTTGTGTGTGTGTGTGTGTGTGTTTGTGTCTGACTGTGTGTGTGTGTGTGTGTGTCTGACTGTGTGTGTGTGTGTGTGTCTGACTGTGTGTGTGTGTGTCTGTGTCTGACTGTGTGTGTCTGTCTGACTGTGTGTGTCTGACTGTGTGTGTGTCTGTGTGTGTTGTGTCTGACTGTGTGTGTGTGACTGTGTGTGTGTGTGTGTCTGACTGTGTGTGTGTGTGTGTGTGTGTGTTTGTGTCTGACTGTGTGTGTGTGTCTGACTGTGTGTGTGTCTGACTGTGTGTGTGTCTGTGTGTGTGTGTCTGACTGTGTGTGTCTGACTGTGTGTGTGTCTGTGCGTGTGTGTGTGTGTGTGTGACTGTGTGTGTGTGTCTGACTGTGTGTCTGACTGTGTGTGTGTGTGTCTGACTGTGTGTGTGTGTCTGACTGTGTGTGTGTGTGTCTGACTGTGTGTGTGTGTGTCTGTGTGTGTGTGTCTGACTGTGTGTGTGTCTGACTGTGTGTGTATGTCTGACTGTGTGTGTGTCTGACTGTGTGTGTGTGTGTGTTTGACTGTGTGTGTGTGTGTGTGTGTGTTTGTGTCTGACTGTGTGTGTGTCTGACTGTGTGTGTGTCTGACTGTGTGTGTGTGTGTGTGTATTTAGAAGGTGGGGCAGGGGGGAAGGGTTGGGTGGGGGTGGCACAGGGGGAGAGGGGTGCCTGAGTTTTGTCCCGCCTAGGGCAGCACAAAACCTGGATACACCACTGCATTCACATCCACTCATTTCTGGGTTTTGGCATGTGTTGGTACAGAATTAGTACCAGATCATTTTTGCTAATCTAGAATGAAGGCATTTATACTTTTGTGAATATCACATAGCACTTGTCAGACACAGCTCAAGAACACCAGATTACATACACATCCTTAGAGTGACTATTCATGGAATTTTAAAGCTGGCCTAATGATTAATTCTTCAACAGTTCTATTGTATATGTAAGAATAATTCTGCATTAAATTGTTCCCAGTACCACTTGGATCTCCACTATACTGGGAAAGACAGTTTTGTTATATTGTGCCGTGATAAATGTGATGCACCAGTTTGAACCACTTTGACCCACTCAAATGGCAAGAGGTCCCAATCTTGAGCCCAAACTAGACTTGGGCATTCATATTCGGACGAATTTATTTTCGGGCGAAAATCAGAATTTTTGTCCATTTGTCCGAATACCTAATAACGAATGGTGAGCCTAACGAGCAAATGAATGGGTGCCGAACAAAGTTCTTCCATGTGCCATTTGTTTGTTCGTTCATTCATAATTCACATTTGACCTTTTGTATTACACTGTCTGTAATTCAAAAGGCTGAAAGCTTCATCCAAATGCTTGAATGGGTAATTCTTTCGGGGAGCCTTTATTCTTCCTGCTCACTCCCCACCCATTGTCGGCAGTTGGGGGCCCCAAATAATCATATTTGATGGGAGTGAGCCGAACTAATGAATGTGCACCAAACGAATTAGCCATTTGTTCATTCGGATTACTTGAATTACTGAGTGACCAATATATATACATATATATATGCATATATATATATAAAAGATAGCAGTACTGTATATTAGAAAAGAACTGACTCGCAGGTTGTGCCTGATAGACCTACTTAAATCGTTTGCTTTATTCTTTCTGTCGCATAGAAGTATAAGTTTATTACTCTGTTTTATTGTAAGTTATTTCACATGGGATCTGTGTGCCTGGTATGATTGTTACTTTACCCCCTTAACGCCGTTACGGTGTTCTATGCCGTCCTGCATTAAAAGGGCTTTCTATTCCAGGAGGTGAGATTTACTTACCTCTGCCGTGATCCTCTTCTGGAGGGCTGTCTGACAGCCCAGGCAGCCCTCCCCTGGCAAATGAGGCCCCAGGGGGCCATGTGATCGCTCTCAAAAAGCGATCACATGGCCCCCTATAGCTGGCTGTGGCTCTGCCAGCAGGGGGACTGTCTAAAATGTCAGACAGTCCCCCTGCTGGTGAAAAAAAAAAAAAAAAGAATTAAACATGTGTAAAATTGTATATCTATTATATATATAATATATACATATTATATATATGTAACGTCATACAAAGTGTATTTTAATATTAATATAAGTACATATATTAGTATTAAAATACACTTAGAATGACGTTACATATATATATATATATAATATGTATATATAATATATATATATAATATATATATACACATATATTATATATATATATATATATACGTATAATTACAATAATAAATAAAATAATAAAATAAACAAAATATTGAAACAAAATTTAATATAAATTATATATTCATATGTAATTTCATTCTAACTGCATTTTGTTATTAATATATATATATATTGGTAACAAAATACACTTAGAATGACAATTTATATATATCTATTTATATATAAAATACAAATAACCGCAAATATATATATATAAATATATATATAGATAAATACATATAATTACATAAAAGCTTACATTAGTATACACGGAAAATTTTAAATACCTATAAATGCATATATATTATAATTCTATGTGTATATTTAAGTAATCTTTTAACATAATTATGTAATTTGATTAATTAAAATTTGATTGACATGCCGGACAACACAGGGAGAAAGTGCACAGAATTTAATTCGCAAGCACTATATTTGACCCTGTAACTCTCCAAGACACCATAAAACATGTACATAGGGGGTACTGTTTTACTCGGGCGACTTCGCTCAAATATTAGTGTTTCAAACTGGTAAATTGTATTACAATGATGATATTTTAAGTAAAAGTTAAGTTTTTTGCATTTTTTACAAACCAACTGCACTTTTATGGACTATATTATTGTTGTAATATGTTTTACCGTTTTAAAACACTAATATTTGTGTTTAGTGAAGTATCCCGAGAATAACAGTACCTCCCATGTACAGATTTTATGGTGTTTTGGAAAGTTAGAGAGTCACATATCAGGCTTGCATTTCATTTTTTTTACATTGAAATTTGCCAGATTGGTTATGTTGCCTTTGAGTGCGTATGGTAGCCCAGGAATGAGAATTACCCCCATGATGGCATACCATTTGCAAAAGTAGACAACCCAAGGTATTGCAAATGGGGTATGTCCAGTCTTTCTTAGTAGCCACTTAGTCACAAACACTGGCCAAACATTAGTTTTTTGCTTTTTTCACACAAAAACAAATATAAAAGCTAACTTTGGCCAGTGTTTGTGGCTACTAAAAAAGACTAAACATACCCCACTTTCAATACCTTTGGTTGTCTACTTTTTCAAAAGGTATGCCATTATGGGGGTAATTCTCATTCCTGGGCTACCACACCGTCTCAAAGGTAACATTACTAATCTGGCAAATTTCAATGTGAAAATGGAATGTTCTATATTTGACCCTGTAACTCTCCAAAACACCATAAAACCTGTTAATGGGGGGTACTCGTGAGCCATCGCTGATTACAAATATGTGCATTTGTTTGCAGTAAAACCGTACAGTATTATGACATTCACATTCTTATTTTCTCACATTTTTTTAAATTTTATTCATACTAAATTATGTTCCATATATGAATAGTTCATGATAAATTAAAGCCCTGTTTCTCCTGAACAAAATGATATATAATAAGTGTGGGTGCACTTAATGTGACAGCGGTGAATTACGGTTGAACAGACATATAGCGCAAATTCCAGTTTTTGTTTACGTTTTGTTTTGATCAGAACGTACACTATTGACTCCGTCCTGAAGGGGTTAATACCATAAGCCCACTACACTTTTTATGAGAGTGGGATAGTGTAAATGTGTTACATTGTTTGCATGATGAGCTCAGTATTTTTATACTGAGACAAAACGTCACTTCATTAGTATTTGAAAGTTAATTCCCCATATGGGATTAAGTGTATAGAACCATTCAGCACACCTTGCCTGCCATGTGTGTTTGTTGCAAAGGATCCATACTGTAAATATGATTTTTGTTTGTAAATAAGAGAGCAACATTTACATTTCCAGCGGTCCAACACATGCTTCATTTTGTGCTGTAAGCTAACCTTTTTATTGCTACAGGTGCTTTAAATGATCCAGTGCAACATCTACTGCATATCTTTTGTCTTCTATGTCTCACATTATGTGTGTTCTTTTAAATTGTGGTATGTAATCTGGATCAGAGATCATGGACAAGGGTTCCTACCTGTGTTACTAAGGCTCTTGGAGAGTGACCGGTCTAAGGTTTGCCATGCCTTTTAACATGGTATACTATACATTTTTAAGTCTCTGAGAGTTCTGAAAGATTCGGGTGAAACCATTTCTGTGTAATCTGGTCCAGATGTTTGCTCAATTTCTATAAGAGTTAAATTGATGCAGCATCATCTCAGATTAGTTAATGGAAGTTTCATACAAATATTTGAGTTATGAGCGCACTATATAAATGGATCCTTTCTTTATATACAATACTATAGTAGATTAAAGTAATGAAGTTAATTAAGAAAAACATGTATACATAAGAATCCCTAAAATAAATCTAGTACAAACTAAAATTGTTATACCTTACAGTAATATGTTCTGAGTATAGCTGTTAACTGTTTATTCTGTGTAAATGGTGATTGTGATAATGTGTGAAGTGTGCAGCTTAACTGGAGAGTGGTTTAATTTATATGTTGCTGTGTTGTTTTAAATTATATTTGAATCAGTTTGTCATAGTCTAGTGATACTGATAAAAATGCCAGCCAAATAACCTATCAAATAACTGTTTTATTAGCTGTTGAATACTAGCGTTTTGGCCAAGAGTAGTTGGAGTTGGAGTAGTTCTATCAGCTCAGAGAGGCTCTGTGTTGTGGTCTGATATAGCTATATGGGAATGGAGATTTGGAGGTGTTAGTTTAAGACTGCTTTCATATTGTGTCTACCCGTGTTTCCTAGGAGGGACACAGAGTGTGTAGTTGCCTGCCCATGAATGTGTTTTCCGTATTGGCATATCTGCTGGGTATCCATTATGTGTTTCTACTACGTTTGTTTTGTGAGATGTCTGTTTTGTGAGATGACGTGTAATATTACATTGGATGCTGAGTATGAGTTATATGGTTTGAAATGAATTGGTGTGTTATGTGTTTTATGTATTTTATTGTCCATTATGTAGGAGTTTAACTAGCAGAGTGATTTGCATATCATTAACGCAAGCATTTAGTGTTTTTACAAAAGGTGAAATGCTGTCCAGCCGGCTAGAATGAAACAATTGTATGCTATCGCTCCTGGAGCAAGAAAAGCACTTGTTACATCCCACGTGAAAGGGGCCCTGCAAACTTCTGCTGTTCAAATCGTGGATCCACGTTTCCATTTGTAAATTGATTAATCCTGAAAGTCATTCTTTTACTGATAAAAAGGATTGAACGGACAAGATGTTGCTCCCTCATAAGGGAGTTCTAATAGGGGAGTATTGTCCAGCTCAGAGTTAACTCTACTTTTAAAGTATATTGCATTGTTTGTGTCAAAGTAAGATTCATCTAGTATGCCTCATTGATTATGGGGTAATAATAAAATGGTAATTTTAATAGAGATTAGACAATTTCTGAAATTTACAAGTGAGGTAATCCTAATCTACTAAACTACCGTATTATATTTGTATGGGTAAATTGAAAGCATTTTGCAGATCCAGAAAAGGATTAATAAATTATATAATAATCTCACTAGGAGCCAAATTATGCAAAGAGGCTAGCCAAAGTATGCACTAACGAGTTTAACTTGTTTTCTTGATAAGCGTATAACATTTAGTTTTGTGGTTAGACTTTTGATACTCAATTTGAAATATGTCCCAACTACATCCTTGCACGGCACCAGGTACAGGAAGCAATATGCGATTTAATATTTGCAAAGTCTTAGTGTTTTCAATATATTATAACAATGGAAAAGTACCTAACCGCATGTCTGCATTATGCTCATGACACAGACTGTCAGTATTGCAAGCCCTATATGAAGGCTATGCTTTCATTGTCAATGTATATACCCCTAGACAACCTTGCTTTATATACACAATGTAATTATACATTAAACCTTTAAAAGCTTATTAATATTATATCTGTGTGGTACACAAAGAGGGGTACACAAAGAGGGGGTGTGAGTTAGGTAATCCCGACCTGCATATGAAATATGCTTCCTTCTTGTTCACTTTTGTTCCTTGTTGGTCTGTGACTGGCCCTTTTTGACCCCAAATAAATTTCTTGGGAAGATTCATGAGAGGGATACAGCAGGTTGTTTTGATAGAAAGAAAGAAGGAAAAGGGATGTTGTATCAGTCACAAGGATTGTGATCCTAAGCAGGTGAGACAAAGAAGTTTGGGAGGTGATAGGAGATTGAATCAAAAAAGTTTTAAAGGCAGAGGTAGAGAATTTGGTCAAAGGTTCTAACTTTTGTAGAGGTGGCAACTTCAGCATTGGTGGAACACACTATTCTAATTGTGGATAGCAGGGTCACTGAAAAAAAATGAGTGCCCAAACCCACCCCCACAGATTCCTCAATATCAACCACAGCTTCCAACCTATACCCACACCCAACAACCCCAGCCTAATACACAGATGGTTCATGTTTTTAATATTTTATATAGTTTTAGGTGTTAATCCAAGAGTATTGAAATATTCGGGAGTATTAAAGTAATTCATTTTGAGTATCAAATCAAGGTTCAAGTTTAGGAACAGAGTTTTATTGGAAATTATCCCCATATGTATATGTTGGTGTTTTAATATTCATCCTAACTCTATAGAGTGAGTGCTTCTCATATCCGTACAAAGGCATTCCAAAGGAGTATTATGTAAAACTTCATAGAAGACAGATTGCATAAAATATAAGCAGATATAAGAGAAGTACATGTTACACAAATTAAGGGTTTAACCTTAATCTCTAATTTAAGTTTTAGCCTAGGTAATTAATTAATTGATGTTGTATTGATCCTTGTGTTTGTATGATTGTAGAGACCATCCTGGAGTGTTTGTGCCGCCTGATTTCTTGGACTACACACCAATCTCTCTGGCTAACCATACAATAAGTATTTTGCAATTACATCTGTTTGGTCATTATCCATGCAGGCCGAAGAAACTGAGATACTTATGAGGACATAAACTTTGCACGCAAGAACCTGGAAAGTCCTGAAGGTGCAGTGCTGTCTAATACCGCTGGTTCTGTAATAACCCTTTCAACCATTGGGGTGTTGCACAGAGCATTGTGGTGAAAATCCAGCAAACAAAAGAAGAACTATGTGGAAGCTGACATTGTCTTGTTGTCAGCCATATTGCTACCCTTAGCCATTTTATGGAACAAAATGTCTGGTGTCTAAACTGATTTCTTTATACTCTGTGAAAGACTTATTCTATTTTTCTGAACTATGCTGAACTATTGAACTATTTTTATTTTTGTAGAGTTAGCCGGAGAGAGAGGAAGTGTTAGCTGACCCAGGGATGGATGTACTATGTGTGTTTTTGATATATGTTGAGTGTGCCAAGGATGGATTCCCATGTTTTGAGGAACTGTGTGAGGATATGACTGGTTTTGACTGGACCTTTGGAATAGGGAAATGGTTAAAAGATATAGGACGCAAGGTCCTGGTTGTGATTATTGTTAGAATTTCAAGCTAGATTATAATTTATCTCATGAATTAATATGTAAGAAGTGTTTCCCAATTCCTCCCTATACCCGAGCTATGTACTCACAGGTGCGGGTATTATAAGTCACAAGTGGTGTCAACTGTGAGGGGATGACATGTCTAACATGATCGTGGCCCCCACTCAGGTACACACACACACTGCACCACACACACACAAACTACATCCTTCACAAATGCAATGCACCCATGTATACACACACTGCACCCCTGTACACACACTGCACCCCTCACACACAGACATATTGCACAACACACACACACACACACACACACACACTACAGCCCCTATCCCAGAAGACCCCAGGTAAGTTGTCAAACTGTTTTTAAACAGTTTGACTACTTTCCCTGGGAGGGTACTATGGCACTACTGGCACCATAACCACTACAACATAATGTAGTGGTTATTGTGCCTGGATTGTTTCTTTAAATAATCTACCAGTGCCACTCCCAAGATTAGGGGCCTAGTACATGCCACAGCACTGTACATGTATACAACCTAGAAAATTGTTTTGACTTGGGGTACCTTGGAAAAAATATTGAAATATTAAGGGCACTAAAAAGTTTGGGAACCACTGGTATAGTGTGATAAATGCCCATCTATACTTTTGCCAGCCATTTAGCTTGGACTATTTAAAAGCTATTTTATTCATTTAGTAAGCTACCAGGGTAAAGTCGTCGTGCTTTCTGCAGAAGATGTATTACAGTAAGACTTTTTGTAAATGTATGCATTTATTTTGACAGAAACAAATATGACAGAAATTATGCTCAATATATACTACGCTTTTCAAATATTTAGATATTTTTTGATATACTGACATATTTATTTAAATATCACTTTTTTTATATTCTAATATTTTGAAGAAAATCATTTTCAAAGCTTATCCAAAAATATTGAATAATTTGAAAAAGAAAAGCTTATCTAACAGTTTTAAATTGAGGCTTCAATGGGTAAATAGTTCAACTGGATGATTTTTTGCAGTTTAAAGGGACACTGTAGTCCCCAGAACAACTGCGGCTTATTGAATTTGTTCTGGTGAGTAGAATCATTACCTTCAGGCTTTTTGCTGTAAATAGTGATGTCGCGAACCGTCCGCGAACACGGATGCTGTCCAGGAAGTAGGAGGGTCTGGGAGGGAGGGTCTGCCGGAGATTGGCAGGGATGTGTCAGCTGACCGGAGTTCGCCACGAACCGTTCGCGGCAAGTTCGCGAACGGTTCGCGACATCACTAGCTGTAAACACTGTGTTTTCAGAGAAAATGCAGTGTTTACATTACAGCCTAGTGATAATTTCACTGGCCACTCCTTAGATGGCCCTGTGGCGAAACCAACCTCACCACTGGGCATTGGAGAAGCCTTTTTGCCCGCCTCCTGCCTGCTGACTATGGCCCTGGGAGATTTGGCCCTTTAAATACAGTATTTGGGCATATTGTATTTTTATTATGCTGCTGCTGGCCCTTTAAGAACTATCTGGGTACATACTGTAGAGTTACTGGGTGGCCACCATTTCATGTATCAGAGGCACATGGTGAGAACAATGGATGAAGCACATGGTGAGAAGTTCATACAGTGGAGCTCCATCCATATCTCAATGAGGAGTGAAAAACTCCATAAGCCGTGGCATGGTGGGCATGTTGCTGTGACACGTCATTCATACAAGGATAACAATTCCAACTTACTTATGCATTCCTTCTGCTTCTTCAATTGTTTCTGGAAGGGACAATCCTTTTGTTTCAGGAAGCAAGAGCACTAGAATTCCAGATAGTGTCCCAAGTACAGCTAAATTGACAGAACATAAAAGAAAATTATATTAATGTTTCCGGCTGTCCAAGGAAACCAGTTGGATATCACAGACACAAGTAAGAAATTTCAGGGTTGTAATTACTGCTGGTGCTGTGAGCAGGGGGTCAAGAGGTAATCACACGCCCGAAACGAATAGTGTTTTTAGGTTTGTTTTTAGGTTTGTCAGGCTATGGAATGTATAGCTCATAGAATGGACCAAGTGTTTGCAGGGATTCTGAGAAAGGCCATCGACAATATTTTATTGAAACATGTGATTTTAGAAACCTTGCAGTTAGAGTTAGTTTATATATATTTATATTTATATATATATATATATATATATATATATACACACACACACTGAACAAAATTATAAATGCTAAACTTTTGTTTTTGCCCCCATTTAAGACTTTTTCTATGTACCCAAAGGCCTATTTCTCTCAAATATAGTTCACAAATCTGTCTAAATCTGTGTTAGTGAGCACTTCTTTGCCGAGATAATCCATCCACCTCACAGGTGTGGCATATCAAGATGCTGATTAGACAGCATGATTATTGCACAGGTGTGCCTTAGGCTGGCCACAATAAAAGGCCACTCTAAAATGTGCAGTTTTATCACACAGCACAATGCCACAGATGTCGCAAGTTTTGAGGGAGCGTGCAGTTGGCATGCTGACTGCAGGAATGTCCACCAGAGCTGTTGCCTGTGAATTGAACGTTTATTTCTCTACCATAAGCCATCTCCAAAGGCATTTCAGAGAATTTGGCAGTACATCCAACCGGCCTCACAACCGCAGACCATGTGTAACCACACCAGCCCAGGACCTCCACATCCAGCATCTTCACCTCCAAGATCGTCTGAGACCACCCACCCGGACAGCTGCTGTAACATTCGGTTTGCATAACCAAAGAATTTCTGCACAAACTATCAGTAACCGTCTCAGGGAAGCTCATCTGCATGCTCGTCATCCTCATCGGGGTCTCGACTTGACTGCAGTTTGTCATTGTAACCGACTTGAGTGGGCAAATGCTCACATCCGATAGCTTCAGGCACTTTGGAGAGGTGTTCTCTTCAGGGATGAATCCCAGGATTATACAGTACAGGGCAGATGTATGGCGTGTATGGCATTGTGTGGGTGAGCAGTTGGCAGCGTGTATGGCATCGTGTGTGTGAGCGGTTTGCTGATGTCAACATTGTGGATTGAGTGGCCAATAGTGGGGCCACTCAATGTTACGGACAACGAACACAGGTGCATTTTATAGATGGCATTTTGAATGCACAGAGATACCGTGACGAGATCCTGAGGCCCATTCTTGTGCCATTCATACACGACCATCACCTAATGTTGCAGTATGATAATGCACGGCCCCATGTTGCAAGGATCTGCACACAATTCCTGGAAGCTGAAAATATCCCAGTTCTTCCATGGCCAGCATACTCAGCGGACATGTCACCCATTGAGCATGTTTGGGATGCTCTGGATCGGCGTATACGACAGCATGTTCCAGGTCCTGCCAATATCCAGCAACTTTGCACAGCCATTGAAGAGGAGTGGACCAACATTCCACAGGCCACAATCAACAACCTGATCAACTCTATGGGAAAGGAGATGTGTTGCACTGCATGAGGCAAATGGTGGTCACACCAGATACTGACTTGTTTTCGGACCCCCCCACCCCCACTGACACTCCCGGACCCCCCAATACAGTAAAACTGCACATTTTGGAGTGGCCTTTTATAGTGGCACAACTTTGCAATAATCATGCTGTCTAATCAGCATCTTGATATGCCACACCTGTGAGGTGGATGGATTATCTCGGCAAAGGAGAAGTGCTCACTAACACAGATTTAGACAGATTTGTGAACAATATTTGAGAGCAATATTTACTCAGTAGACTTCGCTGAACACAAATATTAGTGTTTCAAATATCACAGCAATGATATTGTCAGTGAAAATTATGTTTTTTTGCATTTTTCACACACAAACGGTACTTTCTCTGTGACAGATAACAATGTTACAATGTCACCATTGATACATTTTAAGAATATATATTTTTAAACATGTCCTACTTGTACTTATAGCTCTAAAACTTGCAAAATAAAGCTAAGAACATATTAACATTGGGTATTTCTAAATTCAGGACAACATTTAGAAACTAGCACGGGTGTTTTTAGACGGTCGTAGATACGTACCAGATTTTGGGTGTCAAAGTTAGAAAAAGTGTGTTTTGGTTTTTTTTCATTATATTTTATAAAAAAATTATAGTAAATTATATGATATGATGAAAATAATGGTATCTTAGAAAGACCATTTAATGACGAGAAAAACAGTATATAATATGTGTGGGTACAGTAAATGAGTAAGAGGAAAATTACAGCTAAACACAAACACCACAAAAATGTAAAACAGCCATGGTCCCAAATAATAAGAAAATTGAAAAGCGGTCTGGCCACTAAGGGGTTAAGCTATTAAGCTGTAGTTGTTCTTGTGACTATGGTGTCCCTTTAAACTTTACCAGCTGCCACTGCATGTTACAAGGATAAGGTTACCAAATCAGCTGTAACTTTTCATAATTATTCATTAAAAAAAAACAAAAAAAACTAATGGTCTGTACTAGAGCAGTTGGATTTAGTCACTTTTCAATGGATTGTAGAGAGAATTCCAAACCTAGGCCAAAATAGCCAAATTGAAAAATATAGATATTTGTTTCCAGTTTCTCTATATTGACCTACTTTTTAATCTTTTTTTTATTAATGTTTTTAAGGAAAATTGCAAAACAAAAAAAGGAAAATTGCAATGACAAAGAGTCTATCAAAAATTTTACAATGTATTCCAGAACGCTTGTGAAGGCAATTGCCTATGTGAAGGGCAAAATGTTTTTGTAGTGCAAAGAGATAAGGGTACAACTACAATTAAACTGTTACAAATGACTCCCTGAGTTTGTCAATGTCAGCATCCATAAATATTAAGAGTTAGAGGGGGAAAAGAGAGAGAGAGAAAAAGGAGTGGAAAAGGAGATGGGGTAGAATGAAGAGGGTGAAAAAGAAATTTTGATATTATAGGAATAGTTATACAACTTTGCAGATGCAGAATATTACTCAATGGAAAACAAAAAAAGAAGACCCATGAAATGATGTCTTACCAAATACTATAAGTGGTAATTCTTTCCAGACATCTGCCAACCGGTAGACTAGAAATGGTGTAATGGTACCTCCAAGATCACACATTGATGAGCAAACCATTATTCCGAGATTTCTGAAAAAGGGAATGCTAAATTATAATATTACAGATGTAAGGATTAATGTGTTTAGGAGTTTGTTTGTTTGTTTTACCAGGCCATACACATTTACATTTCTCGTTATGAAGTGGTCATGAACCAGGCATGTAAGTTGAAGACTACATCTGGTATTTTGGACAATTTAGGTCTCCATTATATATTTTTGGATATGATTTTCAAATGATTTAATATTTTTGGTATAAAAAAACATTTTAACTTTGCAATATTTGGATATTGTTTGATATTTGAATATATTTCTTATATATGACATAGTTTTTATACTTCAATATGTTGAAAAAAATAATTTTAAAAGTTTATCCAAAAATATGATATCATTTGGAAAGCTTAACTGGCAATAATAATTTGGGGCCTTAGTTCAACGTATCACAAGAATGAGTGATACACTGGAGATCGAAGCGGCATCCTGTGAGTTAGATGTGAGGAGTAAAGTGTGTATATATATTTCATGTGATGTGTGAATAATTGTATGAATTACTTGCAAAAACATAATATTCAGGGATATAATTTTTAATTAGTGGGATAATAGCTTCTTAATCCAAGAAGATTTTTTTCCACCCTTGTTGCAAAATTGGAAGCTCTTTGAACTGTGTTGTTTGCCTTCCTTTGGATCAACAGCAAAAACAAATGTGAGAAAGGCTGACGTGGATAGATGCATGTCTCTTTTCAGCCAACTATGTAAATAGATTTTATCCAAATATGGAGCAAGGAATGGTGGTGTGTCAATCATAAACATAATTACACTAAAATACTCTTTATTTTATAAAACAAATATGAAGCCTCCTGTTTTGTTATACTCTTCAGAAATTCTTATCTCTGGCTTCTGTTGTTTACATATTGGATCCTGCAGAACTCTCCTGTATGTGATTAAAGTTCGATTTAAATGTGCACTATAGGGTCAGTAACACAAACATGTATTCCTGACCCTATAGGGTTAAAACCACCATGTAGCCCCCCTCATGCCTCCCTAAATATAGCCAATCTTACTTGTATTCAAGTCTGGAGCTGCTTGCTTTGTCACTGTTTCCTTTAGACCTGCCCACTGCCTGGAAGTGGTAGCCTGATCCAATCACAATGCTTCCCCATAGGATTGGCTGAGACTGACAAGGAGGCAGATCAGGGGCAGAGCCAGAATGATTCAAACATAGCCCTGGCCAATCAGCATCTCCTCATAGAGATGAGTTGAATCAATGTATCTCTATGAGGAAAGTTCAGTGTCTGCATGCCGAGGGAGGAGACACTGAATGTTTGGATGCATTTTAGGCAGCCATGACCCAGGAAGGATCTCTAGCAGCCATCTGAGGAGTGGTCAGTGAAGTTATCACTAGGCTGTAATGTAAACACTGCATTTTCTCTGAAAAGACAGTGTTTACATCAAAAAGCCTGAAGGTAATGATTCTACTCACCAGAACAAATTCAATAAGCTGTAGTTTTGGGTTTCTTTTGTGGCGGCTGTGTGAATAACAGACAGGGGATGCGTGGCTAAGGCTGTATAAACAAAATGATTTAACTCCTAAACAGGAACTAAAAGGGAGCTAGGCACTGAGACTGCATGATGTACAAAACTGCTTCCTTAAAGGGATACCCCAAGGTTGTTGTTAACCCATGTTAATTTTGCTCTACAGTGGATTTACAACTACTTGCTCTTACTGCCTGTCCCCCTATTTAAAAAAAATAATAATAAATTAATTAAAAGGCAGAAACTTCAAAGTGTACAAGCAAAACAGGTGGTTACTGTGTATAGTGCGCTTGCAAAATTTGTTTTTTTTTAAAGAAGCAGCTACACACTATAGTGGGTTCCTCTTACTCCCACTATATACTGTTGTGAACAAAATAAATCAGTAAAATCGGAGTTTGAGCCCAAATCTATACTAATAGAAGGAGTGGAGCGCTGTGCAGAGCATAAAAATTTATATACACTTACCGTAAAATAGGGTGTAAAGTTGGCATGTACACTTAATACATGTAGGGAGACACAGAATAAAATAATATAGTGTAATCCACAAAAGATGGTATAAACACAGGACTTAACTATAGGTATATCAACTCACTTTCATGAGAGCCTCTAGGGGACAGGCTCAAATCACATAAGCAGTAGTGTTGTTGGTGACACTGGAACCTTTTGTCGTGGTGTATATCCTTAAAGGACAAGATAAAAGGGAAAAAAATCTCTAGTGTATAACGTATTAATACATATATATATAGCAAAAAGTGATGATGGTTGTTCTCACCTTGTTAAGAGCCAATAAGTTCCAATAAATTCAATATATTTTATTGGTTTTGTCCACTTCCTGCTGCAAAGAAGGGAAGGTGTCCCCTTTATAGACACATAGGCTTGCAATCCAGAGCCAGATCTTATTGACTCTTAACAAGGTGAGCACAACCATCATCACTTTTTGCTATATATATATGTATTAATACGTTATACACTAGAGATTTTTTTCCCTTTTATCTCGTCCTTTGAGGATATACACCACGACAAAAGGATCCAGTGTTGCCAACGACACTACTGCTGATGTGATTTGAGCCTGTCCCCTAGAGGCTCTCATGAAAGTGAGTTGATATACCTATAATTAAGTCCTGTATTTATACCATCTTTTGTGGATTTACCCTATATTATTTTATTCTGTGTCTCCCTACATGTATTGAGTGTACATGCCAATGTTATACCCTATTTTAGGGTAAGTGTATATAAATTTTTATGCTCTGCACAGCGCTCCACTCCTATTAGTATAGATTTGGGCTTAAACTCACATCTTACTGATTTCTTTTGTTCAAAAGGCAGAAACTTACCTGCTTACAACAGACATATTTTTTGTACAGAACTAACATTAGGCAATTCGAAACTGAGTCATGTGTGCCAGAGGGGTAATCACATCCCTACACAAAATGACGGAATACTCTGTATGTGCATCGTTTCAAGCTAAAACATAGCACATACATATTGCCCCAATCATGATTACTTCAAAAAGCAGAAATGGTCACGGAGGTTGGGGTAATCCTTTAAGTCCAAGTTGTTTTTAGGTGCTTAGAGTATCCCTTTAATGAATTCTGAAAAGGAGGTGTCTTATCACTGTAAAATGTTAAACACAATTGTTTGAAGCCAAAAGGCTTGTGCTAGGAATGTCTGATTTCAACAGGCTTTTTTCCCTATCAGAGTTATTCACTAAAGTGAGAATTCATTGCGATTTCAAAGTGAATTTCAAATTTAAGACCAAAGTAGCCAAACAGGAAACATAACTGATTTTTAAAAAGTTTTAAGATTTGGCTATTTTGACCTTAAGTTTGAAATTCACTTTGAATTCACTGTGAATTCTCATTTTAGTGAGTAGCCCGGTATATTTCGGTGCACAATAATTATACCATTTTAATAAATACATTCCCATCTCTTGCAAACTTGATAATATACCTGATAAATGTTGGATACAGCTCAGCATTCACCAAACAAATCATTTCATAGGAAAGTGTAATACCCATTCTGCTCACACAGCCCAGGGTTACTTTCAGCCAGTTTAATTCTAAAGTAGGGCAAATAACATATCAGTCAGCAGAGAAGGACTTGTGCAAATGTTAGTGTTCATTGTCTTGTTCAGTGCTTTATTAAAAGGAATAACTATGCGCAGCTGCTCTGCAATACATCTGACCTTGTTTAAGATAAGTTCACACCATCTGCAAATGGAATCTTTAAACAGAAAGAATGCAGCATATTTTGCCAAATATTTAGGGTTATTCAATAAAGTGTGAATTATATCCAATTCAAAGTGCATAGAAAGAGAATTCTACATTATAGGATAAAATAGCTAAATATGAATCACACTTTAGTGCATAAACCTAATACGTATCATTTTTTACTTTTGTCCTTATATTCTTCTTCACTATTATAATATCATTTTAGGCACTCTAGCCAATTAAATTGGCATTATAGCCAGATTCCAGTATTTTGTTACTACTGAGTTATTGCTGTTTTAAATGATAATTTATGTATCCAAAATGTAAGATTTATTAGCGAGTAGTTTACCATTTGGGATGAAGGCAGTGATTAGGCAGGAGATTCCTGTTACAATGCATCCTACAGCCCATGGATAACGGCGCCCGATTCGATCCACAGTAACGATTATTATCAGAGCAGCAGGGAATTCAACCATAGCAGAGACGAAAAAGTCAAAATATATGTTTTCACCAGTAGTTCCCATATGCATGATCAATCCCTGGTAAATTACAGCACAGGTAAACCTGCAGAGTATGGAAAGGACACAGCGAGTTCCTTACAATAAGAATAGTAAAGGCCTCAACCCAAATGTTTTGCTTGCTCCTTGATTTGAGGGGAGAGACTCAGGAAGTACCTTCCCAAAGAAAAATGCAGTTAGAAAAATGAAAAAATTATTTATAAATATATATCACACTTCTGATCATGGCAGGTGCTCCCATTAGACAGGTACCGTACCTACTATCCTATTCACTGTTACTACCTATAACAATTTTGGGAATGCTTTGGCCTTCTAATATAGTCATGCTAAAATAATAAGATCCCAAACTGATTTTACCAAGGATAGGGTCAATGAAGAGCATCACCTACTGACGTTACCAAGAATAGGGTCAAACAAAAGCATCACCTACTGACGTTACCAAGAATAGTGTCAAAGTCAAGTTTTCTCGACGGTGGTAAGAGCATGCATTGTGCTAGAACAAATGCAGGAAATGATAAACAGTGCTGTAGACATTAATTATAATTACAAGTACAGGGCATGCATTACCAGATAAACATCAAAATAAAGGTATGTTTCCTAATCTGTGGTGTCCTGATCAAGTCCATAAATGATGGAATCTGTTTTTCGTCTCCTTCTTCATCCACAGTTAAATTCTAAGATAAAAGATAAAAAGTTATTTTAAATTAAATTAAAATTAATGTGTCTCCATGTTTGTGTCTATCTATCTGTATATCTATCTATCTATCTATCGCCAAATGATTAATTAATCGGACCCATCCATAGGCCTCCCAACCCTCCTGATTTTGGCAGTACAGTGATGATTTAGGTCCTGTCCCATAATTCCGACGTAGTTCGACAATGACCTGCTTTTCACAACACTTATAGTGCAAGCGTGTCTTTTGGCGCGCTTGCGTTATGCTCAAGGCATTACCATCCTGCAGAAAGCACTGAAATAGTGGGACGGCTTGGATGATGGACAAGCAGCCTAGAGTGCATTCATGCCAGGCTAACCGGCCAATTCTTTGGGTGTACAAAATTGGGTCTCTGGTCCACACCCCCTTTGCCCCATCCCATTGGCGTTCTGATTCACAGTATGGCGGATTTGGCAGATATGCATCCATTATATCTGAATAGACTAAGGACTGTATTTTAGAAATTCTTGGTAGCAATGCTATGATATTCAATCACATTGGATGTCCTGGATAATTCATATACTATGGTGTCTATGAGAAAATAAGAAATAAAAAAGGCTTAAAGAAATAAATATTGGAATATTGCAAGCCAATATCCTGGGAGAAGGGAAGGTAGTCGCCTCCTGTATTTACCTAAAAAAAAGTTTAACCTGGCAGCCAATAATTTGTCATTTTCTTCCAGAATTTCTATGCAAGGAAAACAGAATTATTGACCTACTAGATCACATAAACTAGTAAGAAAGAAACTTCCTTAAATCTGTACCTGTGGTCTGTCACATAAATATACATACAGATTACACATTTACAGAAACATATACATGTAAATTAATATACTTACAAATTAGCAGTAGAGCAAGGAGTGAAAATAAGCTAATTAGTAAATCGGAATTTATTGATAGCCCAATATCAGCTGCAGGTTCATTAAATAGAGGTACAATGATCATATGATCATAAGAGTTAAAGGGACTCTCCAGTGCCAGGAAAACAAACCGTTTTCTTGGCACTGCAGGTCCCCTCTCCCTCCCCTTCAGTGACTTACCTGTATCCAGCGCCAATGTCCCTTAGTGCTCGGTCAGGGTCCGCCCACGCTCCTCCCCCACCGACGTCAACCGGCGGGGGAGACCTATTGAGCATGCGCGGCTGCCGGCGGGGGAGACCTAATGCGCACGCAAAGAAAGCATTTCACTAAGAAATCTAATGAAGAAAGATGAGGTTACGATTAGAGCTGCAGACAAAGGAGGAGGATTAGTGATTCAGAACACCTCTGACTACATGAAAGAAAATCAACGACTATTAAGTGATGTAAACACTTATAGTATTTTGAAAGAGAATCCCTGTGAACAATTCCAACAAGAACTCAAGACACTGCTAGATGAAGGTAGAACTAGGGGAATACTGAATCAAAAAGAATATGACTATATCAATTCTTTATTCCCCAGATTAACAGTGTTTTACTATCTACCCAAAATTCACAAACGGCTGAATAACCCTCCAGGACGTCTGATTAATTTCCGGCATTAGATCGTTGACATTGAATCTATCTGAATATGATGATACATTTTTGCAGCCAATAATGGTAAAACTCAAGTCACATCTTAGAGATACCACTCACATTATACAGATTTTATCTTAAATAAAAATGGCAGGAGGATTACATTTTGGTGACAGCTGACGTTACGTCACTGTATACTGTTATCATCTGTAGAATTTTCATATGCTTCAGCTTTTATCACCTGAATTATATAAAATTTTACGCAAAAATTTGAATATTCTGAAAGGAGACCCTATCCTAGATAAGATACTTGGACCAGAACCTAAGGTTATCTGTTCCAAAGCTCCCAATCTCCAGACACTACTAGCTCCAACCATTAAGAATTTTACTACAAATTCAGTATCAAAAAACCCTAAATTGGAATGGGTTTTTTGGAAGTGTGTAAAATGTAGAGGATGTATAAATAATCCAAACCAAGCATGTACCATTAAGGAATTCTCTCATCCATTAACCAATGAGACATTTCCTATCAAGAATCATCTTAACTGTAACACTAAGGGACTTATATATTTATTAAGCTGCCCCTGCGATAAAATTTATACCAAAAGAAATTTCAAAACTAGAGTAGGGGAAGATATCCGCAATATCAAGAAAGGCCTCACCCCGCTTAATCTTTCCAAACATTTTGAGATAGCACATGGAAGAAACCCTAATGGATTGGAATTCTTTGCAATTGAGAAAATTAACACCCCATGGAGTTGTAATTTAGAAAAAGAACTCGACAAAGCAGAAGCCAAGTGGATATTCCAATTAGATACCCTAGAACCAGATGGCCTCAACGTAGACTTTGAGTTGAATGCTTTTCTCTAATTACTATTTACACCATTTATATTTCTAATTACTTATTTATATTTTTATTTATTATTATTTTTATTTATTATTATTTTTATTTTATTGATTTATTTTTATTTTATATATCTTTTTTCATTTTTTTTCTTCTATTATTTTTTTCCTTTCTTTTCTTTTCACTATTCCACTCAGGGATCTCCAGGTTATTAGTCGTATATTTAGTCCTCCAACCATGCAATTATTCATGTTACATAGATCACCTTATATTCATATAGATATTTTACCAATTGTTGATTGCTATTTATTGCTGCTCCACTTCCCTGTCTAAATTTCCTTATTTTTATTAATATTCCTTAATGGTACATCTATTGTCAATATTGGTTTCTTCAACAAATGTAGGCACTGTTTAATGTATTTATATATTTACTTATGATTGTCTCATATTTTTAGAAGTTATCTTTTATTAATGTATAAATGATCTTGAAAAAAGCATTGGAAGTCATGTTCCAGTGTTTGCAGATGACACAAAACTCTGTTAAGGAATACAATGTGAGCAGTATATTATTTTGCTGCAGAGGGATTTAGATAGACTGGGGGACTGGGCACTCAAATGGCAGATGAAATTTAATGTTGAAAAATGCAAAGTTATGCACTTCGGTGTAGAGCTTGCACAAGCAACGTATACCCTTAATGGAAGCAAATTAGGGATAACAACACACGAAAAGGACTTGGCAATTGTTATAGACAACAAACTATGCAACAATGTGCAATGTCCATCAGCAGTGGCTAAGTCCAGTAAGGTGTTGTCATGCATAAAAAAGGGCATTCATTCTCGGGATGAGAATATCATTTTGCCTCTTTATAAATCACTGGTAAGACCACATATTGAATATGCTGTGGAATTTTGGGCACCTGTTCTAAAGAAGGATATTATGACAAAAGAAAAAGTGCAGAGGCGGGCTACAAAATTACTAGAAAGGAATGGAACATATCAGCTATGAAGAAAGGTTAACAAATGTAAACCTCTTTAGTTTAGAAAAACGTCGCCTGAGAGGTGATATGATAACATTATACAAATATATACGGGGCCAATACAAACCATTATGTAGAAATCTATTCACAAACCGTACTTTACATAGGACATGAGGTCATGCGTCTAGACTGGAAGAAAGAAGATTTTGTCTAAGGCAAAAAAAGGGGGTTTTTTTTGGGGGGGGAGAAGGGTTTAATTTTTTATCTTTGTAGTGCATATGCTTATAAAAGACGGTTTTGAGGTACCCCAAAGGCATTCCTCCAACGCTTACTAAGTAGGTAAACATTGGGGTATTTGCATAATCTAGCACAATTTTTACATTTAAGGATAGTTGCTTAGTAAACAGTATATTTGTAAACAGTGTATTTTTAAACATGCTAACGGCATGAGACAAGGTAAGAACATTGATGGTTTTTAAGCTGAAAATATTCATTGCCTGATCTGGTCATCTATTGACGAAGATATGTACATATGGTTAAGCAGATGAATAATGACAGTGTTATGGTGGCTTGTGTGTGCTTAAAATTGGAATATGACAGTGGCTTTGGAATAACTAATTGATACTTGGCGTGTGCCTGCTGGGCGGTAGAGTTTGTACAGTTGATGTATGTGCCACGAAGTAATCCCCACTATGCTTGTCATCAGCTGTTCCAATATTTAGAGGGTTGAATGAGGTGGTGTAATGTGTCGTAATGGGGTGTATTTTCCCTGTTGTAGTCGTACAGGTGAGTATGTAGCTTGTAAAGTGTGGCGAAACCGACCTCGCCAATGGGCATTGGAGAAGACTGATTGCCAGCCTCCTGCCATGTGACTATGGCCCCTGGGATGTATTACCCTTTAAAGACACCATTTCATGTAACAGAGGCACATGGTGAGAACAATGGATGGAGCACATGGTGAGAACAATGGATGGCGGCCATTTTAACTCACAGATACTGTGTGGAGTTTTCTACACGGTGCCATCTCGCCAGTATTTGGTGCACGAAGACATCGTTCAGTAGTTTTAAACTATACAACAGGGGACACATTATACAGTTATTATTTTTCATATAGCCTGTATATGTTCTGCAGAATCTGCATTAAACTGTATCTTCCAAACTACTGAACGGATCTGGGTGAATTTTGGATATGTGGTTCACCCAGATCCCCCGGCTCCAATTTTTATGGGGTTATTGCATGTTTTGGGGTCCCTGTGATGTGTTTTATGATACTGTATTTTTCCTGCTGGTGATAATTATGTTAACCCATTGTGTGCCATAATTAGATCACAAGCAGAGGGGAAGATTTTGTGTATAATTGCTGGGAGTGTTTTCTGTAATGTACGTGTGTTATTGGTTGTTCTGTAAAACCCTGTGGGCAGTACTAAGTTTGTGGATTGGGAATAAAAGAGGATGTACAGTCAGTTCTGCTTGACCTCAAAACGAAGTGTCGTCTCGTTATTGGGGGAATTGGATTGTATGCTGATTGCCAGGAGTGTAAGCTGATTGTATGCTTTTCCTGTTTAGCTGCTTACAGCATTCATATGCTTGAGAGCATTCATATGCTTCTCCGGTTCGGTGGTTGTGGTGTCTGCTGCAGTGCTTGGAGTCCTCAGGAAGCGCTCGGAGCATCCTTCAATGGAGGTACCCAGTCGGGGTGCCAGGTGATCCGTTACATAAAGTATCTGGTGCTGGGTGTTAGATACCCCCGTCTGTCCTCTGTTTGGGAGTATGTGTCGTTTGGTATCCGCTTAGGGCAGACGAGGGTGGGGGGAGAGAGGTACTTGATCAAGTGGGTGGCAAAAGCGTAGGTGTGGTACGTGTAGGTAGCTGGCATACTCTGGAAGTATGGCATTGGGGGAGACTATGTAATGTAGTATTAGGCAAAACTGGTAGATTAGGCTTAGCATTCAAAACAAAATCTGCAAACAAAATAACCATAGTAAAGATGACCGTGGGATCTTGGTGCGTTACCACTATTGTGGTTTGGTCTGTCAGTCCCGGCCATGAACTTGTCATGAGTTTTATGTCCCTGGGAGCTTTCATGGTGGGTTGTCGGGGCAGGATCCAGGACGTCTTGGAACAAAGTTTTGGCTTTATCAGGGTCCGACCTGTGTTGTGGTTTGGTGGTCTCTGGTTGTGCCGTGGGGTGCATGGCATCCTGAGGCAGGCCGAGCTTGGGTAGTAAGTCCTGTGCTCCCTGCAGGTCGTGGACCTCATGGGTGGTCTCGCCCTTTGTTACCAGTAGGGTTTGGTTGAGGCGCCATCGGTATGTTATGCATCGTTGCTGGAGGAGCGTAGTGATTGGTTTGAGCGATCTTCTCCATGCCAATGTACTGCCAGATAAGTCCGCGAAGAAGGTAAGTGATATGGATTCAAAAGAGTATTGGGTATGATTTCTTGTTTTCTCCATAGTTGCCGCTCTATCCTCCCTCTGCTGAAAGTGGATTATGGTATCTCTGGAGGCCGCTGTTGGGGTTTGGCCAGTTTGGGGATTCTGTGGACACCGTCTAGGCTGATGGCTTTGGCTTGCTGTGATGGTAATAGCATTGCCAAGAGTCGTTGCACAAAGTGTGGTAGTTCCTCCGCTGGCATATTGTCAGGTATTCCCCGTACCTTTAAGTTGATCGCTCGGCGTGTGTCCTCCAGTACGGCGAATCGCCGCTCGAAAGCCTCCGTTTTACTTTGTAAACCCTTTATCTCCTGTTGCATGGAGTCAATGTGGGTCACTGTGGTGGCTGAGGTGTCTTCCAGGTTGCCCAGTCTCCCGGTTATGCCCTGGAGGTCTGTGCATAGGCCCGCCATTTCCGCTTGAAGCGTGGTCTGTAGGCCTGCCAGCAGCGCTTTGAGCACCACTGTTGTGACTGGTGCATCATCAGGGTTCAGGGGCTTTGAGGTTGGTGCCAGAGAGTTATTTGCGTCCTCTCTCTGGTCGAAGTCGTCCGTGCATTCGGAGTAGTTTTCTGGGTAGTCGGCCATTTTGGGCCCGGTCGCTCCGTATGCCTGCTTCCACATGGCTCCGATGTCGAGGCCAAGTCTGGGCTGTTCAGGCTTTTGTTTCTTGTTTTTGCGTCCCATGTCGGTTCCGCTGCTGTGGCTTTGTTTTTTAGCCGTTTTGGACGGGTTTCTTCCGGTCAATTTAGGGTATCTTTAGTTTAAATCACTGGTGCTGCAGTGCCATGCAACCTCTCCGCTCTGCAGCTTGACTCCGCCCCCCCAAAGGTTTTTTTACTGTAAGAACAATCAGGATGTGGAATTCTCTGCCTGAAGAAGCGGTTTTATCAGAGTCCATAGAGATGTTCAAACAGCAACTAGATGCATACTTGTAAAAACAGAATATTCAAGGATATAATTTTTCAATGTAGGGTAATAACTGCTTGATCCAAGGATAAATCTGACTGCCATTCAGGGTTCAAGAAGGAATTTTCTTCCTCGTTTGTTGCAAAATTGTGCTTCAAACTTTTTTTTTGCCTTCTTTTGGATCAACAGCAAAAAACAAATGTGAGGAAGGTGAACTTGATGGACGCAAGTCTCTTTTTAGCTATGTAACTATGTAACTATGTATAATATGCTCAATTAATATCAACAATTGCCAAAAATTGGTATGTACATATTCAAAATATCTTTTTACCAGTCTTTGGCCCATCAAGAGTTAGTTACTAGGACGTATCTTTTATAAAGGCAATTTATACGCACAGACAGATCTGAGATCCATATAGATAATGTATTAAATGTTGCTTTCTATTAACTGCTGCTTCATTTTCTCGTCTGTGTTTCCCTATTTTCATTAATATTCCTTGATGGTATCTCTATGACATTGATTACCAATTTTTCTTCAACAAGTGAATGTACTGTTTGATGTATTTATATATATATATATTTATTTATTTATTATCTTATATGTTCAGAAGTTACCCTTTATTAATGTACAATATGCTCAACTATTGTCAAAGACCATGATGTACACATACAGAGTATCCTTTCAATAGTCTCTGGACCATCAAAAGTTAACTGTTATGCCGTATCTTCTATAATGGCTATTTATACGCAGAGACAGACCAAAAATGCCAGCCTATGCTGAAGTGAACCGACCGTTCACGAAACGCATAAGGCTTTACGCACATCACCCTGGTATCGGGTTTCGGTGGAACGCAGGCACGGGACTAAGTGGAATGCACGCAAACACGTTGGCTCTAACAGTTCCTCACAACATTATCTCCGAGCCGGCCGGAGGGAGGATAATTATTGATCTACTATCACACTTATCCCAAAGATCCTATCCATTTGAAATATACCCCATACCATTATGTGAGTGTTTTTAATCTTTGCACAAATTTACGTTTTGTTTTTTTATGGAGAACACTATGGTTGTTCATTTCTATTACAGATCACAGTAAGGATCCTGCCACTTTAGATCCATCACTGTGATCTAATAGTGATTGTCACGATTTTACTATTTGTACATTTGGATTTTCTAGTACTACATTATTTTAGCCTGTCAGAAATACCCCGGCTGTATATCCAGCCGTGATCCCTCAATCCAGGCATACAGATTTATTGTGATTATTTTTGGCTAAACGGACTTACTTATCTAATTTTGGACTGTTTCCAATTTTTAGCAACATTTTTGCTATATGTCAATTTTATGGTCGTTGCATTATCAATTGTATTTCTAGCTGTTTATAATTCACCTTACTCCTGATTTTTGCTGCCTGCAATATTATCCTGCATGTGTAGCTGATCTTTACCTCATTTAACCCATTCACTACCTCACGCCTGATCTTTTTTTACTAGTTTTACCTAGTTTATTTATATTATCTTTACTTTATTTGGACTTTGGTGGAGTCCTTGGATTTCAGTAGAGTGTTGCCTGAACATTCAGTTTTAGTTTTAGTGTATATTTGAGAATTTCAGTAGTTTCTGCTAGACATTTTCTCTTTCTTTTTATATCATGGTAGCTGTTATAGATTATGTAGGATAAATAGGATGACTAATACTGATCCACGTGGACTCAAAATGCTCCATCCCATGTTGCAATGTTATGCATCGGGCTTTAAAGAAAGACTCCTAACAAACACATAACAATGTAATTACTATGCAGTTACGACAGGTATGCAATTAATAAACACAGTGGAGCAGGAAGAAATGTGAAAAAGTGAACAATTATATTGTGGCTGGTTTGTGTCTATCTTAAAGCATGGATGACTCAGAGCTGCTGCTTCAATAATTCGTATGTTAATCTGTCCCTGCCTAAAACTACCCCCTCAACTTAAAATGTTATGATGAGGAAATATCACTTCTTCATTATCCATCCAAGTACTTGTACTGAGTGAGCATGCATTGCATGCGCCCAGCACACAATGTGAAATACAGAAACTAGACTGCTTATATTTTATGTCATTGATAATGTAATTTACCATTCAGGAATCCCATTGGTTAAATAGAGGACACATAATTGAGAAGTGAGTATGGGAAAATAATGCCATCGAGGGCTCTTGGAGACATCTATAAACCACAACACTGAAGATCTTCAGAATCTCTCAATGCGGGCACAGACTGGCCATCAGGCAAACCGGGCAGATAAAAATGCCTTTTATCTCCTCTGCTAGCCCATGCCGAGCTGGCACTATGCAAGTGCCGGCTCTGCTGTGTGCCATTAGGGCTGGTGGAGAGATCAAAGATCTCCCTCACTGGCCTAAAGGCAGTGAAATGCAGCAGTCAGCATGGGAAGGAGAAGAGACCCAGGAGCTATGGCCAGCAGCTCCACCTAGTTCCTCTCATGAGGCTGGAGCATTGCCACGGTTACCATCGAGCTTGCGTGAGTGAACTCTAGCTGAGTTGCAGGCTAAATTTCACTCCCCACTAGGACCACCAGGGATTACAATCAATATCCCCTCTCCCGGGCCAAATGTAAGAAGGGAGGGGGAATACAACCCTCATTTTTTAAATCAAAAACAAAACATATATAATATATTTGCAATAATCTGCACCCCACACACACAATACTTCCAAACATATTCACACACACACAGCACCCCTCACACACACACTGCATCTCTCACACACACACACTGCACCCCTCACACACACACTACACTTCTCATACACACACTGCACCCCTCCAACACACACAGCACCCTCTCACACACACTGCACACATCACATATACCGCACCCATCTCACGCACACACAGCACCCCTCACAAACACACACTGCACCTCTCATACATACTGCACCCCTCAGACACACACAGCACCCCTCTCGTTCACAGCACCCCTCTTACACACACACATATTGCACCCCTCACACACACACAGACACACACACTGCACTCTTTACACACACACACACACACAGCACCCTTCACATACTGCACCCATCACACACACATTGCCACCCCTAACAGACACTGCACCTCTCACGCAGACACTGGACCCCTCATACACACACTGCACTCTTTACACACACACACACACAGCACCCTTCTTACACTGCAACCCCTAACACACACATAGCATAGAATCCTTCACACACACACCCTGCCCCTCTTACACACACTCTGCTCCCCTCACACATTGCAACCCCTCACACACTGCAACCTCTCACACACACATTGCACCCCTCACACACACTACACTCCTCACACACATTGCACCTCTTACACACACACTGCAGCCTCACACACAAATTGAATCCCCTCACACACAAATTGCAACCCTCACACAAACACCTTGCACCCCTACTTGCATTACATTCCAGACACACACACACACTAGATCATGTACACAACTCTACACCATCTACACACATATACACACTAAATCCCATATACACATTTTGAATCCTTTACACATACACTAGATCTCCTATACACACTCTGGGTTCTCCAGTCACACACTAGATTCCATACAAATACAATAGATCCCATACAGACACATACTGAACCACACTACAATCCTGACATGCATACTGGATTCCCTGTACACACTAGATCCCCTGTAAGCAAACACATACTACATTCGCTAAACACATTCTCTTCAACCCCTATGCACACACTCGCTACATACACACTATGCCCCCTATACACACACTGTCTCACTCTCTACAGCCCTTATACCCTTATTACACGACAAACACAACACAACTGAAACTGACCTATTTACACAATACCACACCACAATCCGCTCACTCTACACTGACACAATCCCACAAGCAGGCTCCAAACACAATACGCTTTTGTGGCCATTTTGTCCTCTGGTATCCCACATATGAAGATACCAGAGACAACTTACAAGCAAAAAGTGCAAGAATGTTAATAAATTTGCTTGCAGAAAAAATACAGGGCCCTTTTCTCATGCTAGAACTCTTCAGCAGGGCTCTGCGCATGGTCTGCCCTGAAAAGCAATGAACCAACATGCTAATTTGAGAGGGGACAGGCTTGTCATTGTTGATAACAAAACACCCCTCTTTTGCCACATCCCCCTTCTCAGTGGTTTGCTTTGATTAAAACATTTTTTTCCCAGTCTGGCCCTGCCTCAATGACATTATTTTCCAATAATACAAACATTTCTAAATATCTTTTATATTACATGACATTTTTTGGCTAGGATTAGTGTAGGGTCAAGCGGTTGCGAGTTATGTGGGTCTGCAATTGTAGACAGCAGCTGCCACCAATTATTTAGTCTGGGACTGAGCTGAGTTAAAAAGATGTATTTACCACTTAAGAATGTAACTCTTATTAACTTGGATAGACCATGACCCTAAATTAGGGACCCCATTTGCACGTGGCAAACCACCAGTTGCTATTTTACTGTTAAATAGTTTAAGATTCATGATTTACCTCTAATGCCTCTGGCATAGTTTTCCCATTTTTTTTGGCAATACCCTGGATAATTTCCCGTGCTTCAGCCTTTCTTGTTTGAGAAATAAGCCATCGAGGGGATTCTGGGACACACCTGTACAGGTAAAAATTTCACATCAATAAGGCAGTTAAGAGGTGCTAGCCCTGCTTAAAGAAGATGAATACATACAGACGGTGTTTACTATGTGTTTTGCTGGTGAGTATACTACTCTAGGCTGTTAGCTGGCCTTTCAAAACTCTCAAAATAATAATATTATCTGGTCTGTTACAAAACCATTAGGCAAATAACAAACACAATCCCTAAACTCCCCCCTCCTGACTCCCTTGCTCAGCACCCCCAAACTTCCCTTCCCTGACATCCAACCCTAACAATCCGAGGCAAACCCGACACGCACAACCTCTCACAACAGACTAGAAGTGGAATATGATCTTATTCCCTACACTGATACATAAAACGAGCTCCAGCAGAAATCCCACGTAAGGTCACGAAACCAGCGTCCCCGAGGGCAGTCATAGGTTGCACATGCTTCCAACCAGTACTAGATTGACACTAGTGTAAGGTTTAGCAGCCCTGGGTAAGACCTGGACGAAAACCCCGAAGAGCTCGTCCCAATTGGTGGACTGGAACGGAAGCTCGGACGTACAGATAGCGGGTAATATATACTATAATATAGTACTCAGGATTATATGGTTATAATGCGTGTAGTCATTTCATTGTTAGACAATACCCTTGATGTAACTATGTATACCCTTTTTGCTTTTGTACCCTCCTAATTTGACAGATTTGCATTACAAGAAAATCAATTAAAAAAAAATTAAAAATTAAAAAATCTACCATTAGGCAGGGTTAATCAGAAGGAATGTATTAATTTAACAGTTGAAATGGACTCTTGCATTTAATTAATTCTCAGAATACATACAATTCTTCACTTACCACCAGATCTCTCTGCGGGCCACCCAACTTTCTCACTTTTGGTGGGACAGTCTTTGTTCTAGAGTCTTTTCTTGCCATTCCTATTTAGATCCCGGGATCCAGGGACACCAAAGAACTGTCCCCAAGTAGCACTGAGTGAGTGCATCATTAGACGTGCTCATATTGTGAGGTGGCCACTAGAACCATACAGGGAGCGATTTAGCAGCTCTTGTTGCATGGTCTCTCTGCATAGTCTTATATATTTGGGTCTCGCCGTGAGGCTATCTTTCAGCCTGGCCTGCTTGACCCCTGGCTGACATGCTTTTTTTAGTGGGCATACCTGTCCATTTTCTATGGGTGTCCAACTGATATGGGCATCCCATTATGACGCAAATTGTGTCATTGTCAATTCCCCTTGAAGGTCAACCCACCCATTCTGATTCCATAGCTCACAATGTTTGGAGGTATGATCCTATGAGATGACAAACTCAAAAAATTTACTGTTTGAGGATCTATAACTGATAAACTAATAAAACTTCTCTGTAACAAAACATTCTTTGTAACATATAGATTTTACCAGTAATATGCCAAAAACAAAAAGTTTGGCAGAGTGACAGCCAGCTGCAACCATCTCCAGTTAGTTATTCCATAAGCAACTCCCGAGAGTACTAGGAGGCCAACAGTAAAGGCAACTTGGTAAACAATCCCCACAGTCCTCCGGTGGTCCATGCCGACAAATTCTGCAACTAAAATAGGCATATAGCTATTATTAAGAACAAATACGGTAACTAACAATATTTTACCATATAGTTTTACTGATATTGTGAAGTTCCTAGCACAATTAATGCATTTTCTTTTTAAACTTTGCAGTTTTGAAATCTTTCATGTGGCAGAATTCCCTACTGAAAAATACATATCTATAAGATGTTATTCATTATTTCGTACCCAAAACTAGCTCTCTGCTATGTTGGTGGACAATCAATGGTGTGAACAAACACATCAAATTCATCAGAACCCTGCCAACTGCCCACAATAAATAGTTTTTTGTAAAAGTATTATCCTTCTTATGGGGGCTACTTTCACACCATGAAGAGTCTCATGAAGGGGTTTTACAAATACTTTTTATTATATAATAAATTACAGTTGTCGAACGAGCAATTTAGAAAATGCTAAAAATTGGGGAATGGTTTGTTAAACTAATGTACATAATTTATATCTGTATCCAAAAAAACATTTAAAAAACCACAGTTTTTAACTCAAGGGCAGCCAGGGATAGGCAACCTAACTATAACCATGATATGGTGCTATAAGCATCTGACTCCCATAGGTGACAGTGTTCACACAGGATGCATATCAAATGCAATTGCAATTGTGTGAGCAGCCTATTCTCAGACCTGATGAATCAACAACAAAAAATGACAGTTACAGAGTGGTTAATATGTAATCTGCGTATTCTAATGAGTCTAAATCCTTGCTAGACACTTAATTACAAAGTTCATGTGTAAAACAGTATTGCATAAGTAGTGTTAAGCTAACTTAAAGAGGCATTCTAATTAATATTACCACTACAGGTTGTTTTTGTGGTTAGGTTGCCTAGAGTACCCATGCACAGAAAGGAGTCCCGGATTATATCCAGCTGTTTTTAAATGATTTGATATTAAATTGGGAGACAGTGAAAGGGAGCAATGTCAACACAACATTAGCTGGAATGGTTATGTGTGCCCATTTATTATTATATTTTGTAAGATAATTCCCATTAATTACTTAAGACAGGTGAAGTTATAAACGTTATAAGCTTTGAAACTAGTTTAGAAAGAAAAAACGATGACCTTTGCACTGGAGGAAATTATAATAAATATATGGGGTTGTGATTGGTTACTGGTTGATAGTGTATTTTCTGTAATGCTAGCTACATTTATGAACTATATTTTCCAAGAGTGTTTAGCCAGCATGAGAGTCATGGGAATTTTTTTTTTTTTTTTGACAATTGGTTCTTTAATTGGCACATAGAAACAATTTATAATGACATGTATATATGTATATACTTATATTATTCTCTTCATCTTAATAAGTTCATTATTGTCTTTATTTATCATATACACATGATTACTCGTAGTTGTATTTTCAGTTTTTTTTTAGGTATCTCATGTTTATAATGTGATACCAAGAAAACGGAAAAAGTTTGTGTTACGACACGTACCGTCGGGTAGATGAAGCCGCCGTTTAGGCAATAATCCCCTTTTCCAGAAATGCAGTTTAAATCCAGCCGATCGCCCAAACTCCCGAACGAAGTCCGCGAACACGGCAACTCCCGATCAGCCAAACAGTCGAACGCCTTCCACAGCTAGAAATAACGAAAGCGCTGTCCCAATAATAATTCCCCCCACAAACGAGACCAAGCTCCGTCTTGAGGGTCAAATGAAGATCTGTTTAATGGGGGCTACCTGCCCGGTATTTATGCAGGTCTCCACAAGGTGGACACTCCCCGAGGGGACCTTGTGGAAGACTGTAACACATATTGGACAGTAGCCAATCGCAGTGGCTTCAATAATAGCCCTTCCCATCTTGCCCATAATTCCGTCTTCTTTACCTTGGAGATAATTGGGGAAGAAACCTAATTATCTCCCAAGGTAGAGACCATCGCCATCTTAAATTACAGTAACAAAAAGACATTAAAATACATAACTACAGAAATACCGAATGCATATGGTTCGTGTAACGTATCCCCAGACAGCCTGGATCTGAGGGCATGTTTTCACCGAATAGCGCTCAGATCCGATGTATCTAGTCGAATCGCCATGGAGTCAAAGTCTTTCACCAGTCCTTCGGTATACGAATGACTCCATGGGATGGCTGTCGGGGTAAAAGTCCATACGAATGAATAAAACTCCCGAACGACCGACGTTCGCATGCCTTGTCGAAAAGGAAGGTAGGCAGCAGCTTTTCAGCGGTGTTCGGTAGTTTAAGTGTCCGTTTTTAGTTCCATACAGTTTGTACCGAACACCGCTCTGTGTTCGTATGTCCCAAAATGGCCGCTGCCTCGTGGTCGACATGCGAACGACGACCACCCGTACGAATGGAATGGAGAGGTGTCTGCGGTTAACCACAACGTTCTAATTGGGGCCAAGAGGTTAACCAGCAGCACACTCCTCTCCTGGGTGGTCGTTCGTTCGGTAGTTTCAATCGGCATTTTGCAAATACACGAACGGGGGTATATGAACAGGCAATTCCGCGAACAAAGGGAAACAGACGAACCAACAATGCAGATGAATCTGTCACACGGCTCCCCCCTTGTGGGACACTCCGGCAGACCCGGCTTGACCCTTTAGCGGGTCAACGTGGGGATGACCGGACTAAGATGGGGTGAGGATGTCGGTTTGCCTGGACAATCCATCTGCGTTCCCATTCTGCTTACCGGGTCGATAAGTGATGGTGAAGTTATATGGCTGTAGTGCTAAACTCCACCTCAGCAGTCTGCCATTGTCTCCAGAGACCCGGTTAAGCCAGACAAGGGGATTGTGGTCCGTCACAAGGGAAAATTCCTGTCCATATAAATACGGGCTTAGCTTCTTCAATGCCCACACCAGGGCCAAACATTCCTTCTCCACTGCCGCATAACTCACTTCTCTGGGTAACAACTTTCTGCTGAGATATGCGACAGGGTGCTCTCCTCCATCTTCCCCGACCTGGCTCAGCACAGCCCCCAGTCCATACATGGAAGCATCTGTATGGACGAGAAAACGTTTGTTAGGGACTGGGGCAGCCAGGACAGGGGCATTCACAAGAGCATGTTTGAGTGCTTGGAACGCAGCTTCACAAGCCGGAGACCACAGGACCTGCTTAGGAAGATTTTTCTTGGTCAAGTCAGTCAGGGGTTTAGCAATAGAGTTGTAGTCGGGGACGAAGCGTCTATAGTACCCTGCTGTCCCTAGGAAGGCTAACACCTGGGTCTTGGTGATAGGTGTGGGCCAGTTGGCAACTGCCTCTATCTTGGCTGGCTCTGGCCTTTGGCTCCCACACCCTACTCTGTGACCCAGGTACTGCACTTCAGCCATGCCTAAATGGCACTTCTCTGGCTTCAATGTCAGGCCAGCGGCCCGAATCTTGTCCAGCACTACCCCTACATGTACTAGGTGTTCTTCCCAGGACTCACTGTAGATCGCAATGTCATCCAGGTATGCACAAGCAAATTCCTGGAATCCATCAAGAAGTCTATCCACCATGCGCTGGAAGGTAGCCGGGGCATTCTTCATCCCAAATGGCATGACCTTAAATTGGTACAGGCCAAATGGGGTGACAAAGGCCGACTTGGGGATAGCATCCTCGGCCAGGGGAATCTGCCAGTAGCCTTTGCACAGGTCTATGGTGGTCAGATAGCGTCCCCTGGCAATGCGATCTAGCAATTCGTCTACCCGAGGCATCGGGTAGGCGTCAGTGGTGGTCCGCTCATTGAGACGCCTGTAGTCCACACAGAACCGGGTGGTCCCATCCTTCTTGGGCACCAGGACTACAGGCGAGGCCCAAGGGCTATCGGAGTGTTCGATGACCCCCAGCTGGGTCATCTCCTGTATCTCCTTCCGCATTCCTTCCCGGACTGCTTCAGGGATACGGTAAGGGGGTTGTCGCAGAGGGTTCTGTCCAGGGGTTTCTACCTTGTGTACAGCTAGGGTAGTGTAACCAGGTTCTTGGGAGAAGGTCGCCTGCTTTTCCCACAAAAGCTGTCTTGCCTGGCCCTTCTCGGTAGCGCTCAATCTGTCCCCTAGCTGTACTAGGCTAGTAAGATCCGTCTGGGGGTCCCTCTCTAACAGGTCTGGCAAGGGTAAACTTTCTGTATCATCTGCAGCAGGGGCACATACTGCAGCGACATTCTCCGGTCTCTCCTGATACTCCTTTAGCATGTTCACATGGAAGGATCGCTGGATCCTTTCATCTGAACAGCTGGCTATAAGGTAGGTAGTATCACATATCTGCGCTAACACCTTATACGGGCCCTGCCAAGATGCCTGCATCTTGTTCGCCTTCACAGGTTTGAGCACTAGTACTTTCTGCCCAACCTGGAAAACTCGCTGTCGGGCACCCCGATCGTACCACCTCCTCTGTCTCCCCTGAGCCACCTGGAGATTCTCCCTTACCATTAGGGACAGTTTCTCCATGCGGTCCCGGAGTTCCAGAACATAGGGTACTATGGGGGTCCCTTCCTGCTCTGTCTCCCCCTCCCAGTGGCCTCTAATGAGATCTAGGGGTCCGCGGACCCTTCTCCCATATAGTAACTCAAAGGGGGAGAACCCAGTAGATTCCTGGGGCACCTCTCTGTAGGCAAACAACAGATGAGGCAGGAATCGCTCCCAGTCTCTGCAAGTGTCAGAAAAGGTCCTCAGCATCTGTTTGAGGGTGCCATTAAATCGCTCGCAGAGACCGTTAGTCTGTGGATGGTAAGGTGAGCTAAGCAGCGGTTTAATACCGCACACCTTCCACAGTTGCTGGGTGAGCACAGCGGTGAATTGGGTTCCCTGGTCAGAGAGAATCTCTTGAGGGAACCCGACTCTGGTAAAAATCCTAACCAGGGCATCAGCAACTGTCTCTGCCTCTATATTAGACAGCGCTACTGCCTCCGGATAGCGAGTGGCATAATCCACCAAGGTGAGAATATATTTCTTACCGGATGGACTAGCCCTGGCCAGTGGACCCACAATGTCAACGGCTATGCGGGCAAAGGGCTCCCCAATGATAGGCATAGACATAAGCCTAGCTCTTGGGTGGTCCCCCCGCTTTCCTATCCGTTGACATGTGTCACACATACTGCAGTATGTCCGCACAGCCTGATTGAAGTTTGGCCAAAAAAAGTTCTGCATGATCCTATAAGCTGTGCGGCGGGAACCTAGATGTCCAGCTAACGGAACATCATGCCCTATCCGCAGAATCTCCTGCCGGTATTTCGCGGGCACTACCAGCTGTCGATTCGGCGGAGGGGCAACACTCTTCGGGGAAAGCTTGGGGATCCTATACAACCTGTCCCCCACCCACTCATACCGTTCCCCATCTAATCCTTCCTCTCCAGTATCTGCTCTGTCCCTATACTTCTGGAGGGTCGAATCTGTCTGAGTTTCCCTCCCAAACTCCACTGGGGAATCCCAGTTAACAAAGGTCTGTGCTATGGTACCAGTCGGGGACTCGGTCCTTACCTGGGTCTCAGCAGCAGGTGGGCTGGTTCCAGCAGCACGGGTCTGGGCACGGGTAGTCACTGGGTTGATAGCGGCAGGTCCCATTGGAGCATAAGCGGACACCAAAGGGGCCAAGTCATTCCCAAGCAAAACATCGGCCAGTAAGTCTTTCATGACCCCCACATTCACATGTCCAGAGCCCACCCCCCAATCCAGGTGAACCCGGGCAACCGGTAAACGGAACACTGCACCTCCCGCCACCCTCACTGCCACAGTATCTCCAGTGTGCTGGTGTTCGGAAACAAGGTTCTTTTGGAGCAAAGTCATAGTGGCTCCGGTGTCTCTCAGACCAATTACTGCTTTGCCATTCAGTTTAACGGTCTGTCTGTGCTGTTGACGGTTATCCTGCTGCGCTGCTTGTACTGGATCCGCCTCATGTAGTATACCCCAAAATTCCTCCTGCTCAAGACAGTGAGCGGAAGGTGGAGGTGGCTGCTGATTTCCGCCGGCTGGTCTTCTCCACGACTGGGCTTGGCTTGAATTGTTTAATGGGCACTCGGGTCGCTTGTGCCCCAACTGCTTACACCCATAGCAACGGATCGGCTGTGAGTAATCCCGGGCGTTGAACCGGGCTGGCTGAATGTAATTGTTCGCTGTTGGCATGGTGGGGGTGCGTTGTGCTGGGTGTTGATACACGGCAGAGGTTGAAGGAGCTGCTGGTTTGTACTCCACTCGGGTAGGGACCTTGGCTGCTGTCTGGTCCAGTTTCCTGGCGTCAGTGTACTCATCAGCCAGACGAGCAGCTTCGGGTAAGGTAGCGGGTTTGCGGTCCCTAACCCACTCTCTGACTCCTACAGGTAAGCGGTCAAAACAGTGCTCCAACAAAAACACTTGCAGCACCTCTTCCCCAGTTACCGCTTGGCACCCTGCCATCCAGTGGGCTGCGGTGCGGTGCACTCGGCATGCCCACTCAACATAAGAATCACCAGCCTGCTTGTTAGTGTCCCGGAATCGCCGCCGGTATGCCTCCGGGGTCACAGCATATCTGGCCAAAAGGGCATCTTTCACTGCCCTGTAGCTGGTAAGTTCCTCCTCTGGGATGGCCCGAAACGCCTCACTGGCCCGGCCGGATAACTTCCCAGAGAGGATGGGGACCCATTCTCCTGCGGGTACCTGGTGTAAGGCACATTGCCTTTCAAAATCCGCCAGGAACCCATCGATTTCTCCTTCGGCTTCTACAAAGTTCCGAAATGCAGCAAAAGGTACTTTTCTCCTTCCATTATTATTATTATAAGGTACCTCAGCTGCTGCAGCGCCTCTTCCTTGAAGCGCCTGTTGTGCTGCTACTGCTGCTTGCACTTGCACCACAATATCTGCTGCGGGGTTGGGGCCAAAATGTGCCAGCCTGATCTGAACTGCCCGGTTAAACTGTATCTCCTCGGGTGTTAACTCCAGTATGCCAGGCACATTCGCTCCCCCCGCTCCCTGTGCTGCATCCATTTCCAATAGTATAGAAATAATCTCTCTTTTCTTGAGATTACTCGCTGATCGTCCTCTGCGCTCCAATATATCTTTAAGGGTAGCACGCCTTAACTCCTCATACTGCATTTCCAACCTGGGATGTGTAGCTGGCCTTCTGGGCTGTAGGATTCATCCCGTCGCTTGCCACCAATTGTTACGACACGTACCGTCGGGTAGATGAAGCCGCCGTTTAGGCAATAATCCCCTTTTCCAGAAATGCAGTTTAAATCCAGCCGATCGCCCAAACTCCCGAACGAAGTCCGCGAACACGGCAACTCCCGATCAGCCAAACAGTCGAACGCCTTCCACAGCTAGAAATAACGAAAGCGCTGTCCCAATAATAATTCCCCCCACAAACGAGACCAAGCTCCGTCTTGAGGGTCAAATGAAGATCTGTTTAATGGGGGCTACCTGCCCGGTATTTATGCAGGTCTCCACAAGGTGGACACTCCCCGAGGGGACCTTGTGGAAGACTGTAACACATATTGGACAGTAGCCAATCGCAGTGGCTTCAATAATAGCCCTTCCCATCTTGCCCATAATTCCGTCTTCTTTACCTTGGAGATAATTGGGGAAGAAACCTAATTATCTCCCAAGGTAGAGACCATCGCCATCTTAAATTACAGTAACAAAAAGACATTAAAATACATAACTACAGAAATACCGAATGCATATGGTTCGTGTAACGTATCCCCAGACAGCCTGGATCTGAGGGCATGTTTTCACCGAATAGCGCTCAGATCCGATGTATCTAGTCGAATCGCCATGGAGTCAAAGTCTTTCACCAGTCCTTCGGTATACGAATGACTCCATGGGATGGCTGTCGGGGTAAAAGTCCATACGAATGAATAAAACTCCCGAACGACCGACGTTCGCATGCCTTGTCGAAAAGGAAGGTAGGCAGCAGCTTTTCAGCGGTGTTCGGTAGTTTAAGTGTCCGTTTTTAGTTCCATACAGTTTGTACCGAACACCGCTCTGTGTTCGTATGTCCCAAAATGGCCGCTGCCTCGTGGTCGACATGCGAACGACGACCACCCGTACGAATGGAATGGAGAGGTGTCTGCGGTTAACCACAACGTTCTAATTGGGGCCAAGAGGTTAACCAGCAGCACACTCCTCTCCTGGGTGGTCGTTCGTTCGGTAGTTTCAATCGGCATTTTGCAAATACACGAACGGGGGTATATGAACAGGCAATTCCGCGAACAAAGGGAAACAGACGAACCAACACTGCAGATGAATCTGTCACAGTTTGTATGCCAATTTTTCCACTGATGCACTAAAGGGGGCATGTTATAACTGGTATATGTATTTTATGTTTGAATGTCTTTTGTTGGAGTGTTGGGGAAGCACTTTTCTATATCAGTTTGTTACTTATAAATATTAATTGAAGCGCCTTAAACACTTTTTTTCTTTTTGACATTTAGAGTTATGGTGACACATTCACTATAATACATAAAGCAAAATATGGGGAATAATACAGACAACCACATAACACTATAATATATAGCTTTGCAAAGGAGGGGAAGTTATGGAACTTGGACAATACAAATCACATTCTGTCTGCATTACCATCGAATGCGAAATATTTACTAAATATATTGGGGACTTGGAACATTCAAACTTTGTATGGTGCTGTGACACATATTGTCTCTGTGGATGATTGTGGGTCAAGTGTTCAACCAGTAGACGCTGCTGTGTCACACAATGTCCAAGTGGATGACGGGTATCAAGATCTCTGCTTCTACATTGAACAAATTTTCTTGAGTGCACATTTCACAGTTAAAAAATGTAATTATTTACTTTGCCCTTAATCTTCATTCCTTTCACGACACTTTTTAACTTTGCTATGTTATTACAATTTCAGTGGCCTTGAATTTCATGCCAAGTCTGAATATTATGCATGGCAGCTATTTTTACTTTCAGCAAAAGTATTAAGATAGTAAAGCCTATTGTATTTCTGAATTATGAATTAAAATGCCATTTTTGCAAATGAGTTCAATTCTGCCTGGTCTAAAGCTAACTCATGCACCATTGCTTACTGCTGCTTCTGCAGACAAAATGTCTTGAGGGTTATTTGTTAAGGTTGCTAGACTCTATTTCCCTTAATGTCAAGTAGGTACATTTCAGCATCATCGTTCTACAGTGCCACACTTGCTTCCTTTACCTCATCTCCATGAAGTGTTTCTCTTGCCTAAAGGTGTTATCAAAGCTTTCAAATTTTTTGATGTTCTTAATTATGTGAGATTTTGGCCCTGTGTCGACCATTAGTTTTGATATTAGCACATTAAGTTGGCCATCTCTTGTGTTGTCTGTTATCATTGTTATATGCTGCTTCTTTAATATTATCTCTTTTTTGACATCTACAATCTGCATCTCTATGCATTGCGTGAAGTAGTTACACCACAATGACTGTCCGCCATTTTGATTACCGGAGCACGCTCTGACTTTGTGCCTTCTTTGTCCGCAGTTATAACCAGTGATGTTAAAATCATCTTTCATTCTGAATCTTGAAGTCACATTGCTCACTTTTAACACTCTGGCATCATTTGCACTCAATAATTTTCAATATCTTCAAAATGTCTCAATTGCTCCTTAAACTCTAGGTAACTAGAAGAGAAATTTCCATTGCTTTGCTTAACGTAATATGGCTTAAATGATTTGGGCAGATCCTTTAGGATCATTGCAATAAGCAATCCCTCACTTGGTGTTTCTCATGCATTTCTCAATGTGGTAAGGGCTGGCTCTACTCTTATAACTAAGCCCATTACTCTCTCATTTGAGCATTTCTGAAGGGGCGTTAATTCGATATATAAATTGACTATACAGGGCTTTCTTTTGCCTGCATGGTAATTTATTAACATTCAAGGTCTTTCCTTCCATCATCAGTTGCCTGTCTCATTATTAAAGCCAGACTTTTATTGTCTAAAAAAATGAACTAGCTCATCATAAACTACCTCATTCTTACATCACCAGCATCATTCGGCTCATTTAAGCAGATGCGGCAACAGCATGTGTCCTAAAAACATTGTTTCCTATAACGTGTAGCTCTTCTTATCTCCATGGAAATATCTGCCTACTCCATTGGTTTCCAGCTTTCCTTTTGGGCCCATAATGCATTCAGAGGGTAGGATAACAGGGCAAGTGCACACAATAACGGAGAATTACACTATACAGGTGTTTAGCGCTTCACTGCTCCGCACTCAGCAGAGGAAGAGTTAGGGCTGCAACTTTATTGTACCACAAAGGAAAAAGGAACACACTGAGTTCACATTAGGATCACATCACCAACACCCGTTCATCGAATAAAGTGTACAGGGAAAGCAGGAGTTGGTCCGTTGTGACCATATGATGGTCAAAGATGGACCTTCATTGATCGAAGTGCTGACCTAGCAGTTATGCATAATGACATAAGACTTTCACACGTTACATTTATAAATTGTTTTATTATTTAATTAGCTTACCAAGAATGTAACCAGACAGCCAGCTCCCCTTGCTTACTAATCCTTGAATAAAACGAAATGTAACAACCAGGGGGTATGTTGGAGCAAATGCCACCAGAACTCCAAAGACAGCAGTGATAAAAAGAGATATTAATAGGCAGGGTTTACGGCCAAATCTGCAAGAAAAGTTTTATTATTTTTCCCGGCACTCAATACAACCAACAAAAAAGTTTTAGCTGAATTTTACTTTGGAGACACCTACATTCCAGAGGTCCTTGGGTATGCAGTTGGAGGCTTTGTCCTTCACAGCAGGCGCTATTGAGACATGCAGTATTTCACATCATTCCAATTGCAGCTCAATCTCAAACCCAGGAACATCCTTACTGAGTGCACTTCTTAATAATTATAGCAACATATACCTAGGGCTTGGCACACCCTGTTCCTAGCTGCGGATCATTCTGGAAATGGCTTCTGGTATCCAGTACTCTTTTTACAATTCTTGTTTAGTTTTTCTTGGTTTTCTGGTTTTCTATTCTATGTCTGGTTTTCTTTATGCTGGGTTTCTGGGTTCATTCTTATATTCCGTCCCTGGATTTCCCTGTCTCTTGGATTCATTTAAATGTTTGTTTTATAATGCCACACCCGTTTGTTTTCCATTTTCCTTTTGTTTCAGTCTGGACCTGCAGCGGTGTTTCAAGTCTCTGCCCTTTCTTGCAGGTAAGTGCTATATTGTGGTTTAGTATGGTTGTTTTAGCATACATTAGGCAGTGTAGGACCTGCCAGATACGGAGTACATTGGCGTGGTTGGCAGGCTTATGCAATGCAGTGGGAGCAAAAAATAAAAAAGGTCTCCCATTGGCCCATGTCATTTCACATTCCCCATACACTCACATTTTGGGGGTGTGGATATGACAAGGGCCAATCAAATTAAACTAATAGGTATTTATACTCACCTTTCCCTTAACTCCCTGCCCTATCTTGGTTTCTGATTCAGTTCCCTTTAGTGCCTGCTTCGTGTAGTAGTGTTTTTTTTCGTGCTTGACCTTGGCTTTGTACCTAACTCCGTTTTTCTCTTTATCCCTGCTTTGTCTTGTTCGCCGGGTTCCTGACTTCTGTGTACCAGACCTTGGCTAGTTCTTGTTTACGCTGTCTCTCTGTTCCCTTGACCTCTGCTCGTTCTTGAATCTGTCTTTTCCTGTCCACGTCAAAGTCCGGCCATTCTAAGGCCCGGTAAGACGTATATTGTTTTCTTGTCTCTGGTTGGACTATTCTTGCGTGTTGGGGTATACTACCGTGACAGTAATTTACTTTGTGGAGTCGGTTTGGTTTTACATACTTCAAAAAAAAGAGAAAGCTAGGAGAACCCAGAACCAGAGCAGGACAGACAGCAGAACCCAGAACATGTACACAAGGCATGAGGAAAACAAGAACAGGGCAGGACAGGACTGTACATGAACTGGGAATACAAAATAAAACAAGACAAGAGATACGAGGTAAAACAAGAGGAGACATAACTAAGCACTATATATGAAAAGTATGAAGGTTTAGTTACATTATATGATCATACATTGCAAAAGCCTGCCACAACGCCAGTGTACCCCATATCTGGCAGGTCCTACACTGCCTAATGTTCACTAAAACAACCAAAGAAGACATATATAGCACTTACCTGCAAGAAAGGGCAGAGACTTGAAACACTGCTGCAGGTCCAGACTGAAACGAAAGGAAAATGGAAAACAAACGGGTTTGGCAATATAAAACAAACATACAAATGAATCCAAGAGACTGGGAAATCCAGGGACGGAATATAAGAATGAACTCAGAAATCCCAGCAATAAAGAAAACCAGACATAGAATAGAAAACCAGAAAACCAAGAAAAACTAAACAAGAATTGTAAAAAGAGTACTGGATACCAGAAGCCATTGCCAGAATGATCCGCAGCTAGGAACAGGATGTGACAGGGCTCTGCTAACTCGAATGCATTATTCGTAGTTACCTGATCTAATTATGGTATATTATAGGACCTTGAAGATTTTTGAACATCATATATAATTCCCATATCCAAAGAGTACTGCTGCCCTGATAATGACTTAGAGTATTCTGTAAACTTGCCTCTTACACTTTTTTAATTACATTGAACACATGTGGCCTAGATGATTTCCATACTGCAGACCACAAGCGGAGCTACCAGTCTCGCAACAATCCTGATTGCGACCGGGCCCTACCATCAAGGCATTCAGTAAATGAGTTAGGGCACTACCATCAGGATTCCATGAAAATACTCTGTTAGTGGTTCCCAAACCCGTCCTCAAGGCACACCTACCAGGATTTAGGGATTACCCAGTTGTGTCTAAGGTGTATTTAGAAAAGAAAAAAAACACATTAGGCACAACTGGGTAATTCCTAAATCCTCGACTGGTAGGGGTGCCTTGAAGACTAGTTTGGGAACCACTGCTCTAAGTCATTCATTGAGCATTGTCGGAAGAGCAGTTACTTTAGTCTGAACTTGCTGGAGGTGCAGACCACTGGACCACCGTAGATACTATGTTTGACCTCCTTAGTCTATGAGCCCTTTGACTTTACATTAGCTTAATTTCCAGTGAGAAGCATACAATGCTTGACAGGCAGGATTAGCCCGATCACACCCTCAGGGTCCCCCTCCCGCCCGGCTCTGGGGAGAGGAAAGGGGTTAAAACTTACCTTTTTCCAGCGCTGGACGGGGAGCTCTCCTCCTCCGATCCTCCTCTTCTCCTCCCATTCGGCTGAATGCGCATGAGCTGCGCGCGCATTCAGCCGGTCTCATAGGAAAGCATTTACAATGCTTTCCTATGGACGCTTGCGTGTTCTCACTGTGATTTTCACAGTGAGAATCACGCAAGCGCCTCTAGCGGCTGTCAATGAGACAGCCACTAGAGGATTTGGAGGCTGGATTAACCCATTTATAAACATAGCAGTTTCTCTGAAACTGCTATGTTTATAAGAAAATGGGTTAACCCTAGCTGGACCTGGCACCCAGACCACCTCATTAAGCTGAAGTGGTCTGGGTGCCTATAGTGGTCCTTTAAAAATATCTGAAAACATGCTTCTAATGGAGCCAAAGCTGGACCAACATGGAGTGATGAATTATACCCACTCCCTGCAAAAAGAGAACAACTAAGTGGTTAAAAAAACAGTTTTGTCTTTAAAAATAAAAAAACACAGGAACCGAAGAGCGAAGATGGTGGCGCCTGCAGGGGGAGTTTCAGGTATGTATAACTTACCTCTGCTGCACCTGTGGGCCACTACACCTCAATCGATGATGTCATTATCAAAGAAAGCGCCCCTGAAAGTGACAAGGCAGCTTTAATACTGAAATACATGAGTATTTTCAACATGACAGGTCCACTACTTAGCTCTCTTTGTTGTACTTTTAAAGTGGGTGGCAAAAATACAGTTTTTACATGTCAGTACTCACCTGTCAGCAAAGTATCCAATGAACAATGATCCAAGGAAAAATCCAAGGTTCACACACGATTGAAAGAGATCCAGCTTCCATGAATCAGCACATACAAGGTTAAACTAAAGGTATATGGGAAAACTAGCTTTAATCAATGACACAGAGATATAATTTCTTGTAATGGTAAATATAATACCATTAAATAAAAAAAGTGCCACATTAGTTGACCAACCACCTTAACCAACTTCCCACAACTTTATAGAGATGCGGTATTAACATGTTTAAAACAAACCAAAAAAAACCCAAATGTGACCATATGATGAGCCATTAAAGGATATTACTTTCACTTTAAAATATGTTGTATTGTCTCTGGAATTATCCCAAGTATACTACTGCTGAAATTATATTATCTGTGAGCAGAGGGGTACTAAGGTACTTGGCACCCAGGATGAAACTGCTGCCTTGTTGTGTCTTTTATGCCCCCTTCCATCTCTTACCCCCCATGTGTGTCTCCAACCACACTCAAATGTCTCCTATCCCCTTTCTTGTGTCTATTATGCCCCATCATATCTTAAACTCTCAAACGTGTCTGGTATACCCCCCCTTTTGTCTCTTTCCCTTTGTGTCTCTTACCACATTATTGTGCCTTACACCCCCAACCCAGTCTTTATGCCCCATTGTGCCTTATGCCTCTTTGCATGTCTTACTCCCCTGTTGTGTCTCCTACCCCCTTTTTTGTATCTTGTGACGAAGGGCCCTTCGCCACTTGGTCCTGGAGAGGCCTGTTTGCCAGCCTCCTTCCCTGTGACTATGACTCTTTGATGTATTTGGCTTTAAAGCCCGTGTTCTACCTTCAGACAGACTATTTATGTAGGTTGATTTATTTCTCTTATGTTTTAGTCACCCTGTACCCATTATAGGTGCAGGGTGTGTGTAATGTAATTGTTTATAGTGTATGTGTGTACTGTGAAATGTATTGCCTGCTTTCCTGTACTGCTGAGATTTGCTACCAACTAGGTGGATTTGGCTATGGAGCTTGTCTAGTGCCCTCTGTTGGTAGCAACAGCAATATGCACTACCTGAATAGCAAGACTGGTTCATTTGCATAATTGGGTAGATTTGCATATTGCTAATTCTGCAGGCACGTGAGATATTTTCTGTTAAATATTGTCTCCCCCACCCCTTTAAAAATATGCCATTGTGTTATAATAAGTCACTGTATGTTGCCTGCTATGATTTGGCTGTTTGTAATTGTATTGAGTTTTCACAGCATTGTTATTGTAATGACCATATGGGCTAGTCCCAAGTAAAATAAAGGTTTAGAAAGTTCTTTTTGATCCCTCTAAATATAGCCATGTCTCGTTATTGGAGGGAGTTGTTATAATCACACTGGGGTTTGCATTGCTCTGTAAACTCCCCTGAGCTTGAATCACTTAGCTCTTTTAAGAGCTTGTTCCTGACACGCTCTCCTTGGAGGAGAGGTCTTCCCCACGCAGTCCTGGATGCTGGAGGTTTAAACAGGATGGAAGGAAGAGGTCTTTCCCACACGGTCCTGGAGGCCAGAAGCTGATCCAGGGTGGAAGGAAGACGGCGACACTTCAGTCAAGCTACAGCGGTTGCGGAGTCTGTGGTGTCTGGTGCGGTGCTTGTGGTCCTCGGTGCAAGCTAGGAAGCGTCCATCAACGGAGGGTACTCGGTCGGAGTACGGGGAGCTCTGTTACATATCTCTTATGCCTCCTATGTGTCAAAACCCCTTACTGTATCTCCTAGCTCCTTTTGTGTGGCTCTTACCCTCCATGTTGTGTTTCTATACTCCCACATGTGTCTCCTACATCCCATTCTTGTGTCTCTTACTTCCCATGTAATGTCTCCTTCTGCTCTGTGTGTCTCTTACCCCATCTCCCCTTCTGGTGCTTCTTATTTTTCTGTAGAATGGCCTCATAGACCGCAGTAGAGGAGCTTCATTTTCCTCTACCCAGAGTGGGAAAGCATCTCTTGGCATGCTGTCCCTGCTTGCCAAGAGCTGCTTTCTTTCATAGAGTGATAGGAACACCCTGCTTATTGTGCCACTGGCTGTGGGTAAATGCAAGCAGAGGGCTTTTTATGTGGTGACATAATTAATCCTTCATGACAGATGTCATGTCAAGTGTCACATACCTCCCAAGTGTCCCACTTTAGAAGAGACAGTCCCTATTAGGACCCACATCCCTTTGCCACTCTTTTTTATCCCAATGCATCTCTTTTCTAGAAACTCCATATTGTTAGTGTGCCTGAGTGTGTGACAGAGCTCCCACAGCAATGATACGCACAGTAATGTGTTTTCAAACTACAATAAATGTGTTTAGAAAATGCTGTGTATATAATATACATTGTTTTTGTTCTAAATCACATTTAGTTACATAATTAGTACATCATCTAAATTTCCTCAAAACAGTCCTATCCCTAACCACACCCTCACTTGCACCCCCAAAATTAAATTGTTCCCTTTTGCCAATGTGAAATGTTGGGAGGCATGATGTCATAGTTTTTTTGTTTCAAAAAAGTCCAACCATGGTCAAGAATGGATTAATAATTTTTACAGAGTGCTGAATAAACAGACAAACAAAATAAAAAATGTAAAACAATGTAATCTATCTTCGTCCAGAAAGAGGCTGTCTCTTTCAGTATGTCAATGTGCTCAAAAAAGATGTCTGGGAAAATTCTAACAACTTGCCCATTTCAAACTGAGATTTGCTATTTGTTTTCAATTTACCATAATTCACACCAGCTCACTTATTCTGGCCTTTGCAAGGGTTATTCATTAAATCGAATTGAAGATTATGCTAGCGCTAGTGTACTTATAATCTTAATTTTAGTAATGACAGGAGGCGAGTATTTTGCATATAACTCTCTTTACTAACTCCATATAGCAGTAAAGAAAAGTGAAAACATTAACCAATCAAATGCAGTAAGAGGTATGGTATTCACAGTGATGAGGCTCCTCCCCCTCTTTCGAAAGCGACATCAAAGACAAATATAGAAAAAACGGATAAAGTCTTGAAACATGCACCAACGGGTGACTTTCCGAATGCGAAGTCCTAATCGCTGAAGGACGGTCCAAACGTGTCCATCCTGAGTATGAGATGTAATGTCCCAAAGTTATGCTGAAAAAGAACGTGGAGAAGGTTAGGTACCGATCAGGCAACTGTTTGCAGTAATGTAATAAACCCAACACAATTTCCACTGCACTGATGTAAAACTAGATGAAAATTAGTATAAATATGACAGTAAACGATAACAATGATCTAACTAAACAAAGTACAAGCCTGAGTCATACAAGATGAGTAGGAAGATAGAAGAAGTAAGGAATACACGGAGTAAGTATACTTACTTGGATCCTTATCCCCCAAGGGTGTGGAGGGTGGGAAAATACTCGCTTCCTGTCATTACTAAAATTAAGATTATAAGTACACTAGCGCTAGCATAATTTTCAATTTTACCACATGACAGGAGGCTTCATATTTTGCATTTTTAACGCTGAAGCAGGAGAGACGTGGCTGCCCCCGCATTCGGTCGGAAGTAGAAGGTCCGAAAGGTCGATTCTCGTGACCAATCTGCAGCTCGTAGGATGTCTGCCAGGGATGCGCCTGCGGTGAAAGCCGAAGAAGCTGCCGCCCCGCGGACGGAGTGGGCTCCGAAGGTTTCCTCTACGCCTGCCAGGGACAGGATCCATCTTACCCATCTGGCCAGGGTGGTGGTAGAGACGGGAACGTGGGGCCTAACGTAGGACACCAAGAGTTGGCCCGTAGGGGAGACCCGCAAGCGGGTTGTAACCTCTACGTATCGATGTAGGGTAGATACCACGCAGAGAAGCGGTTCTGTAGGAAAAAAAGGGGTAGAAGACCGATGTGGAGTCGGATTTCGTACGGCGTGAAACTTGAAAGGTAACTCCCTCCGGGGAGACTGAAAAGGCATCGATGTCGAATGCTCGTACGTCCGAAACTCTGCGGAACGAGACCAAACAAAGTAGGAGCGTCAGTTTGGCTGATAGTTGTCGGAGTGAAAGTCTGTCGTTGTCTGGCCAGTCCCTCAGGAACTGTAGGACGTTTTCGACGTCCCATAGTCGGGAGTATTTAGGTCTCGGAGGCCTCTGAAGTCTGATGCCCCTGAGGAGGCGGCATACCAATGGGTCTTTTCCGACGGGGATCCCCTGGGCCGGAACGTGGGCCGCCGAAATTGCGGAGCGTACTACGTTGAGGGATCGGTAAGATCGGCCCTTGGAGAAGAGATGTGAGAGAAAGTTCATGATGGCTGTTATAGGTGCCATAAAGGGATCAAAATTCCGTTCACTGCACCAAGTAGACCAGGAGTTCCATGCTGATAAGTAACATCGTCTGGTTCCTGGTGCCCATGAGTCCCATAGGAGATCTCGAGATGTTTGCGATAACTCTTCGGTTTGCCAGGCTCCCCTGAAAGCGTCCAAGCCACCAGCGTGAGACGGTCTTCCAGGATGAGCGGGTGTTGATTCCCTCTCGGGTCCGTAAGGAGCGTCGGATAGGACGGTATGAGGAGGGGATCTCTGTAGGATGACGCTAGGAGATCCGGAAACCATGGTTGACCCTGCCATAGGGGTGAGATGAGGAGCAGGGATCCGCGTTGGGTCTTCAGGTATTGCATCGTCCTGGCTACCATGGCGAATGGGGGAAAGGCGTACGCCCCCAACAGTGGCCAAGGTTGGAGAAACGCATCTACTGCCTTGCTCTCTGGGTCTGGGAGCCAGCTGAAGTACTCGTCTGTCTGCCTGTTGTTGCGTGACGCAAAGAGGTCCAGGTGGAGGGGACCCCTTCTGATCGAAAGGCGTTGGAAGATCGCTGGGTCCAGTTTCCAGTCGCTGCTGTCCCGCCAGTGGCGTGAAAACCAGTCCGCTGTCAGGTTCGTGTCTCCCGGGAGGTATTCTGCCATGAGGGAGATTTTCCGGGGTAGACAAAAGTCGAAAATTTCCTTCGTGATCTCTGAGAGGAGTCTGGATCGGGCTCCCCCCAGACGGTTGATGTAGCGGACCGCTGAGATGTTGTCCATCCGGAGGAGGATGCAGCAGTCTGTCCGGTCTCTTGCTAGGCTGCGGATCGCAAACGACCCCGCTAGGAGCTCTAGGCAGTTTATGTGGAGGTTGGATTCTTGGGAAGTCCAAGTGCCTCCTGTCGATCTGCCCTCGCTTGTGGCGCCCCAGCCCCACAGGCTGGCGTCCGATTCCAGGACAACGTCGGGTGCATTCCCGAAGATGGCTCGGCCGTTCCAAGCTTCCATGCTGTCCAACCACCATCCGAGTTCTTCCCTGACTTCTTCCGTTACCGGAATGTTTTGGTCGTAGGAAGGGTTCTGACGGAGGAAGGAGGCCTTCAGGCGTTGCATCGCCCTGTAGAGTAGCGGGCCCGGGAAGATTGCCTGTATAGATGCGGACAGTAGTCCCACGATTCGAGCCAGGTTGCGGAGTGGAATGGTGTTGCAGCGGATGACTCTGCGTAGTTCCTTTTTGATGGCTGTGATCTTTGAGATCGGGAGCCGTAAGGTGCTGGTCTTGGAATCTATCTCGAAGCCCAGGAAATGTATCATCTGGGCTGGGAGCAGCTCCGATTTTTGGTAGTTCACCACGAAGCCTAAGGACGTCAGGAGCTGAATGGTATAACGTGTGTGTTGTGTTAGACTGTACCTGTCTGAGGAAAATAGTAGCAGGTCGTCCAGGTAGATAATGCAACGAATTCCTTGAGTTCGTAGTTGTGACACTACCGGCTTGAGGAGCTTGGTGAAGCACCACGGTGCTGAGCTGAGGCCGAAGGGGAGACATGTGAACTGCCAGGGTTGGTCTTGCCAAAGGAATCTGAGAAATTGGCGGCAAGACCCATGGACGGGGACCGACAGGTAAGCGTCTTTGAGGTCCAGTCTCGTAAACCAGTCCCTGTCTTGGAGTAGATCTCTCAGCAGGTGAATGCCTTCCATTTTGAAGTGCCTGTACGTTACGAAAGCGTTGAGTCCCTTCAAGTTTATAACCGGACGGAATTCTCCTGATTTCTTTTTTACTAGAAAAATGTTGCTGAAGAAACCCATTCCGTCGTGAGCTGGTTCTATCGCTCCTTTCGCCTTGAGCTCCCGTAGTTCGCCGTCGATTAGGCGGCGGTCCTCCTCGGAGCATTGAAAGGGATGCGGGTGTGCGAGCTGGTAAGGGGGTTCTACGAAGTCGATGATGTAGCCCCGAACCGTCTGGAGGATCCATGCGTCCGTGGAGATGGTCGTCCAGTTCTGAAAAGACAGAGCAATACGACCTGCAGTGTAAGGGGTGAATGAAACTAGAGACACTAGGTTGCTTACCTGTGGGGAAGCGTGCTCTGCCACGGTTACGAGGTCCTCTGCCTCGGTCTGCTCCTCGGGTATAGGAGAATGGTTGCCTGGAACCCACTTCCGGGTAGAATGGCTGTGGTCTGTGTGACCGGGGGCCAGAAGGCCAGAATCGGCTGGCTGCTCGGCCCCTGTAGCGGCCAGCCCGTCCAAAAACACCCCGGCTGGGGTAGCCTCTGAAGACTCGTTTCATAGACGTCTGAGCCTTATTGAGGGACGTAAAGATATTAACATGCTTGTTCAGTTCTTTTAAGAAAGGTTCTCCGAACAACTTGCCCTGTGCCAACGGTCCCAATTCTTTGGTGCCCAAATCCACCAGTTTTCCGTCAATACGGAGTAAAGCTGCCTTGCGCCTCTCAGAGGAGAGGGCTACGTTGGTATTACCAACAAAACAGAAGCACCGTTGTGCCCATTCCCTAATGTCATGTGCCCACTCTTTGACCATGCTAGAGTCAAATTGGTCGGCCCTAGTGAACGCATCATCCGCCAGGTATAATATGCGGGAGAGTGGGCCGATTGAGTCCAGCAGTTTATCCTGGACCCCGTGGAATCCTTTCTCCACGCCCCGCCGAGGGTCGCGGCCACCTCGGGACATAAAGGTGTTCATCACCTGATCAAACTCCGGGGTCTGTGTTACGTGGTCGGGGAGCGAGGGGCGCGGGCATTCAGAGCGTAGACGGTTGCGCACCGTTTTATCAAGTGGTTTGCGTAGCCAGCGGTGCATAAACCTGGAGAGGTGGTCGGGGGGGGTCCAGTCTCCAGAGCGTGGATGGCGGATATTGCGAGGGTCAAAGAGGCGTTGCCCCGTGGGGTCTAGGATGGTATCCCCTTCTTGAGCGGGCGCGAGGTCATCAGGCAACTGGATGTCGTCCAGGAAGGTACCTCGTAAGAAGCCAGAATGGGAGCCGGAGTCCGAGTCCCAAGCGTCATCGTGCGAATCAGAGTCCGCGGCTTGCCACTCGTCTAACACGGCCATAGAGCGCGTGTGTTCGTCCCCCTCATCCGATGAGTAGTGGGCATGAGTAGGTGGGGTTGGTCTGTGGCGTTTGGAGGGTGCCTTACCCTTGCCAGGGGTATGGCCCGCTTTCTCACCCTTCCAGTGACGTTTGGTGGGGCGTGGATCCGCCTGTATGTGTGACTCAGAGGCCTCAGAGTCTTCGTCCTGAGGTTGGGCCAGCGTGGCTTTTTTAGATTTGTCGGTAGACGCCGACATAATCTTGGACAGCGCTTTCTCCATAGAAGCGGAGATGGTGTCCGCAATCAGTGACTGGAAGTCTGCAGAGGTCTGGGACGCTTCCATAGTGAGTTGTTGGCACAGGGCAGATGGGCTAGGGGTCAGGTGGAGTATGGATTCAGTATTAATAATGACAACACCCCAGCAGGGTGTGTGGTAGCACAGGTACAAGAAGTACCAGAAACCCCAGCAGGGTAAATTGGGTTTTCTAGCTGGGCCTCACCCAGAAATGTATATGACAGTGTGGGTGGCACAAAATCCACTTAATCTGGTGTTAAGATGGGGTTGGGATGCCCCTTTCCAAATACATATACATAGGTGGCACAAAATCCACCTGATGGCAGCAGTGAACTAAGGGCCTCACCCTGTTAGAACTGTGGGTGGCACAAAATCCACCTAGTAAATAAATAATAATAGTGGACTCACCACTTAGTAGGGCCAGCAGCCCCTGAATCCTTATAGTAAAAACGTCAGTGACCCCTGCCAGCTGTACTTCTTGCAAACAGAAGTCTAGAACCATACAGTACACCCCAGACGGCTGGGAGGTGTCTGCGGATGAGCGGGTTGCGGTCGGCGGCCGGTACTAAGCAGCCCGCGGGACTCCCAAAATGGCGGCCGAGAATCTCGCGAGACGCGAGATCCAAGATGGCCGCCGGGGAGCCGGGAAAAGAGGTTTCCCGGCGAGCCGGCGATGTAGAATGCGGCTGGGGAGCCGCAAGGGAGTACTAGGGGGCAGGGTGAGCGTTACCCTGAGAGGAAAAACAGCTGGGAGACCAGCGAAAACGGGGAAAAAAAACGGAGGAGAAAAAAGGGGGGGGGAAACACAGAAAGCCCATCAGAGGAGCTGAGATACAGTAAAATGAAACATGTAGTGAGGTATAACAAAGACTGAATAAGACCCCCAGGACAGGAGGGAGAAAGTCCCCCAGGAGAAAAAACAATACAGAATAAAGTAAATATAACATATAATATAAGAATACAGTATACAATATAAGACTACAGTATATAAAAAAGGGAAGAGCCTGAAACTCTGACCTGTCTGCTGATGGAGCAGTAAAGAAAGAGGGGGAGGAGCCTCATCACTGTGAATACTATGCTTCCTATTGCATTTTGATTGGTTAATGTTTTCACTTTTCTTTACTGCTATATGGAGTTAGTAAAGAGAGTTATATGCAAAATATGAAGCCTCCTGTCATGTGGTAAAATTGCTACATATTGAATAGAGTCTATAAGAACTACAAAATCACAACATTTTTCACACTATTTAACAATACTTGGATTTTGCAACTCAGGCCCTTAATGAGTCTGAATTAGGTCTGGATTAAAGGACAGAAAGAACGCCACCTAAATCCGGACATGAATGCTTTAAATCCAGGCTGCCAGCGGGCAAATAGCTAAAAACCAACAATTATGTGGCCAGTGGTTGCTAGCCACATTACATTTTTTAATAAATAAATTTACTATATGAAAGGTTTTAAACCTATCTATGATCCCACCTGCTATGCAACAGTCTACTGAATGTTTAAAACTGGGCAGCTATTCAGATTATTCAAAAGTAAGTCTCGAGAGAAGTGAGACTTGCCTGTTAGAGTTCTCTGATTGGTTGGCTTCCAGAGTGTTCAATTAGCATACAAAGCACGCAAAAGCCTATACAATGGTTTTTCCAATTTAAAGCCTCATTCGGCACGAAAATAAAATACTTTGTTTTACATTTTATATTTTGTTCATCTGTACAGAGCCCTTGCAGGGCAAAGATGGATTATTTTGCTGTGATGCGTTTTTTATTTTGTTCGTCTGTTTTTGTTTTTTTTACAAATTGTGTTTTGTTTTGTTTTTTTGCAAATATTTTTCAAAAAGTACATTTTTTAATGGTAATATTTTGTGTTCAGGAAACAACCCTGCAGATTTATCATTTTCTGGAGGATTCCGTACAATTCACATTTCAGTGAATAACCCTGAATATATATATATTTTCTTTACAGACTTTCATTTAAAATATAATATTCTCTAAACACAATAAACATTGTTTTACATAAGAAATTCCTGTTTAAATTTTTTTTCTTGTGTGCTTGATAATCTATATATTCTGTTATCCAGTAAATTTTAATTTTTGGCCAAAATAGTCATATCTGGAAAAAACAAAACATCTCAATTATGCCAAGATCTGTTTTGCCCTACATTTTTAATTCTTTATAAATCCTGGTTTAATGATTAACCTTGTATTGATGATAACGTGATGAAGATTGGCTTTTTTTTTTTATAAAGTTCATGAAGGCATATTCATTGCAGTTTTATGAAATACTGCAAATGACACTAAATATTTTGCATCTCAAATTCAAATACTTAAAATGCTATGACTGTGAAGATGTTCACTAGATTCTAGTGCAGGGTAGGCAACGTTTAGCTCTCCAGACGTTGTAGACTATATCTCCCCTCTGAAGCTTTGCCGGCATTATGTCTGTAAGAGCATTGTCTAGTAGTGGGACAACAGACTTCAAGCAAATGAGTTATGATACAGAAAAGGACACATACCTCTGTTACAATGGATGCTCCAGTAGTGTTATAAATCCATCCATCTTTACAGTTGGAAACTGGTATCCTATTAAGACCATACATAGTACTGTTATGGACAGGACTTAGACAACTTGAAGATGTCATGTTCCAGTCCATATCGTACTGGAGACACTGACTTGCATGCGAGGAGTCTATATTCCCATCCAGTATAGGAACTGTGAAATTAAGTTCCTCTTCTAAACTCCATCCACATTTACTGCTCAGGTTCGCCAAGTCAGGATTGAAACACCTGTGTGAAGGCACAAATCCTAGAAAAACGATGCCCACATAGATTGGGCTAAAAACCGCAGAGATCATACACATCAGCAAGAATATCTGCTTCTGAAATAGACCAAATTGTCCAACGTGATCCAGGATATCATCAAATGATGCCATGTTTAAATTTAGAAATCTAGAATAAAAGCTGCAGGAGTGTTGTATGATAGCTGCCTGATCCTCCTGCCCATTGTAAATCCAAATATATTAATGCCTTACCAATTGCTGTTTGTGTTAAACTGTCTGCCATGTATAAATAACTAAACTAGTACGTTCAACTATTGCGTAAGTCAGCTGATAAACTAATGAAAGGACTCAAACATGCAATATGCATATGATGAGCTCGTGACTAATTATATAAATAACATTCCAAAAGAAACAACCACTTTCCCGGGGCAGTGCATCCTTCAATTTAAATGACATTAGATAATTCTCATTCAGTGTTCCCTATATAAAAAAAAAACAGAGTAGGACTTTGCCATGCAAGTTCGGGGCAGAGATCCAGAAGTAGTCCATAGGTTTTAAAAGTGGCTTCAAATGAACTTCACTTCACTTCTGCAAGTCCGTCTGGGGCACTGGAGGTGACCTGCGGGCTTTAGTGTTTATAGTGCTTGGGGTGTTTATTTAAGTAATCCAGATCAGGAAAAATGCCTTCAAAAACATAATTCATGCCAAGGTGAGCATCCAGAACAGCGAAGTCCCGATAGTCAAGCAAACGGTACTTCAAGAAAATATGGTGCTGAAAAAAAAAGTCAGCATTCCCTTAGTTTCAGTCTTGGTCAGATTGCGCCACAGGGAAACCTGGGATATACCCTCGAGGGCATCACTATTTAAGCTATCTGTCTTTGGTTAAATATTAAGTATTTCTCCAAAAAAAATATTATTCAAAAAAAGTGAGAGACATTTAAAAAATATATTTTCCTATATTTCCATTGATATTTCTGGTAATATGAAAATGTTTTTACCGCTATCATCCTCCTAGATAATGGGGGCCTAATATCACCCCATCGCTTTCACATTCTACACTCATGCATGACATAGTGGTTGGTGAGAGGGACAGACAGGCTGATACACCTGTCAAATTGCAGCATTTAAAACATGCACACTCACACAGGGTGAAGGGTATGAGGGTTAACGCTGCCAGGGAATTAAATCTTTATTCTCATGTTATCGTTTTTATTCTTTCCTATATACAAACTGGCTTTTGGTTGTTTCTGTCCCTGAGAATTTCTACGGAGGTTTTGATATAACACTATGGCCACTAGTATAGTAGGCAGCCAGCAGGCCTGCCTGTTTCCTTAGTTGATCAGCATTATGGGAGTTTAAACTAGTGAATTTGTGGGGTAGAATTTGACATTAGAGCAGAACAGGCGCCATTTTTGCAGCTCTAGAGCTTATCTACGGCATTTTGTCTGCGTATCTTTAAACCCTCAAGAAACAACACAGCATTTTATTTCCACCTGCAACTTTAAAGTACTGGCTGAAGCTTGGAAGATAGCCAACTCATTGATTCTAGCTTTGTCACAATATTATTTTTTACTTTAGCAATGCTACCATATTTTAAAAAAAAATCTTTATTTTCTGTTGTGCGAGGTATAACAAGAGGCTTGTTCAGCCACAATAGCATTCACAATCAGTGTAGTAACAAACATAGTAAACTTAACGTGGCATATGAGCAGGCAGCACATTTTTTAAATTTTGTTAAGGCAGGTTAAGCATAATATTTCAGTTTGTTAGCTTTTCTTCTGTCTATGATATGAGTGTGTCATATAAAGTAATGGTTAGCTCGCTATACAAGATGTTTAAGTTTCATGGGGTTAAGTCCCAGGCCATGGGCATTAATGCGTGCAGCGAATACATTAATACGCTAGATGGAGCATAGTAGGCTTGGGTGAAATACATTTGTCGATGGTGCTGCGCTCTCTGTCAATGTTTACAGTGCTAGTGGTACAGTACCCTATGCCCCAGAGTGCATATTCAAATGGCATATAATACTGAGATGGTATACAATACTGAGATGGGAGAAAAATAGCATACAATTAGAGGTACATTAAGTGTTGTGTAAGAGGTGTACTGCAACACATGAAAAATAACAAGTGAGTAGAGGCAGGGTAGCGTTCCCTATGTTCTGAGTTGAGTGGAGGGACCTATTGGGGTTCTGTGTATATAAGTGGGCCACCTGGCCATCATAAAACATTCTAGTTGTACCCTTCATCAAGTCTCGACTGATGTTTGGGTATGCGAATGGCGCACCAGGTGATTTATTAGTACGACCTGTTGGGATTTCGTAAGAGTACGAACCAGCGTACTATGTGAACGGACTATAGTCACCAAGCCTCTAGCATTTCGGGAGTTTACTAACGAACGGAGTATACGAAATACAAGGCGTTCATTACAGCGATGCCCCTGCTACCAAATGGGACATACAAGATCCTTTGTCTGACATTAAAAAGTTATTTGCGGGGGGCGGAGCCAGCAGCTAACCAGAGCAGATGTGTGCCAACAGAGCTCTGCCAAAATAAGCCTGAAATAAGCGATTTAACCACCTAAAACTTACCAACTTTAACCTCCCTTCAGACACAGCACGATGGGGAAGAAATCCAAACACCAGGGAACTGCAAAACCAGCAGGGGCACGAGATAGTGGGGACATTCTCCTCCGTCCTAGACAGGCCTCAAACCACACCGCGCCATAGAAAAAACATGGCGACACGGCCTCGGCCTCCTCCGAGGACCAAGCGATGGATGAGCTGGATGAGTTCCCGAGCTCAGGGGGCTTACACCACCCCTCCTCCGACGAGGATAGCAAGCTGCCCTCCACAAAGGGAGATATCAAAGCCCTTCTCCACAACCTCCGCATGTTGTTCGCCACATATGTAGCCACTAGGCGAGAAGAAATACAAACTGTGGAAGGGACGAGTCAAAACAATAGAAGGAGACTCGAAGGACCTTACCGCCCGATGTGTACAGCTGGAAGCCCAAAACACGGAGCTAGAGCGTAACCAGTCTCAACTCACCAGCCGCCTAGATGCACTAGAAGACCTGCACAGGAGCAGAAACGTCAAAATCTGTGGACCTAACACAATACATCGGGAGACTACTTACCTCCTTACTCACACCGCAACATCCCGAGAGCCACCAGAGCTCCAGCAGACACTCCACGGGATGTCATCCTACAGCTACAGACACGGTCAGCCCAACAGACCCTTATGGCAGCGGTGAGAGGGAAAGCTAACCACACATTTGAAAATACCACCTGGTCCTTCTATCAGGACCTGTCAAGGCCCACAGTACTGTGGAGAAGCCGGTTCAAACCACTGACAGCCACGCTCCACCAACACTCCATCCCATACCGCTGGGCATTCCCCAGGAGCTTGGTTATCTCTCATGGGGGCGCAACAATCCGCTTGACCGATGCAGCGGAAATTGATTCAGTGCTGACCACGCTGAGACTACTGACAAACCCGGTACACACTACCCAAGCCCCGAGACAACAGCCCCCTCACATCTGGAACATGGCTAAAATACAATCATTTCAACCGACCAGGCAACTTCCTTTCCTTTGGCAAAATGGGTCAAAAGAAGGACTTGAGAGGCTCAGAAAAGTCAAAAATAGTGAGATATCTTGCAGAGGGATGCAGCACTCTTAAAATTGCAAAGCTTCTGAAGCGTGATCATCGAACAATCAAGCGTTTCATTCAAAATAGTCAACAGGGTCGCAAGAAGCGTGTGGAAAAACCAAGGCGCAAAATAACTGCCCATGAACTGAGAAAAGTCAAGCGTGCAGCTGCCACGATGCCACTTGCCACCAGTTTGGCCATATTTCAGAGCTGCAACATCACTGGAGTGCCCAAAAGCACAAGGTGTGCAATACTCAGAGACATGGCCAAGGTAAGAAAGGCTGAAAGACGACCACCACTGAACAAGACACACAAGCTGAAACGTCAAGACTGGGCCAAGAAATATCTCAAGACTGATTTTTCTAAGGTTTTATGGACTGATGAAATGAGAGTGAGTCTTGATGGGCCAGATGGATGGGCCCGTGGCTGGATTGGTAAAGGGCAGAGAGCTCCAGTCCGACTCAGACGCCAGCAAGGTGGAGGTGGAGTACTGGTTTGGGCTGGTATCATCAAAGATGAGCTTGTGGGGCCTTTTCGGGTTGAGAATGGAGTCAAGCTCAACTCCCAGTCCTACTGCCAGTTCCTGGAAGACACCTTCTTCAAGCAGTGGTACAGGAAGAAGTCTGCATCCTTCAAGAAAAACATGATTTTCATGCAGGACAATGCTCCATCACACGCGTCCAAGTACTCCACAGCGTGGCTGGCAAGAAAGGGTATAAAAGAAGAAAATCTAATGACATGGCCTCCTTGTTCACCTGATCTGAACCCCATTGAGAACCTGTGGTCCATCATCAAATGTGAGATTTACAAGGAGGGAAAACAGTACACCTCTCTGAACAGTGTCTGGGAGGCTGTGGTTGCTGCTGCACGCAATGTTGATGGTGAACAGATCAAAACACTGACAGAATCCATGGATGGCAGGCTTTTGAGTGTCCTTGCAAAGAATGGTGGCTATATTGGTCACTGATTTGTTTTTGTTTTGTTTTTGAATGTCAGAAATGTATATTTGTGAATGTAGAGATGTTATATTGGTTTCACTGGTAATAATAAATAATTGAAATGGGTATATATTTGTTTTTTGTTAAGTTGCCTAATAATTATGCACAGTAATAGTCACCTGCACACACAGATATCCCCCTAACATAGCTAAAACTAAAAACAAACTAAAAACTACTTCCAAAAATATTCAGCTTTGATATTAATGAGTTTTTTGGGTTCATTGAGAACATGGTTGTTGTTCAATAATAAAATTAATCCTCAAAAATACAACTTGCCTAATAATTCTGCACTCCCTGTATATAGCTAAAGGAGATACCGCTCCTTGGTTAGGAGTCCTAGTCGATACTTGACACTGCATACACAAGTCCCTAGAACACACTAGGACACGTCACTAGCTAACTGGCAACCGTCTAGATAACTACTGCCTCCCACTGAATCCAGGTCAGGGGGGATCTCCTTATTTTTATTTTTATTAATACACTTGATGCTGAGACCAATTTAGTTAGGGAACATGATTTTTAGTAGCCAGGATATTAATATTATTAACCTTAATTTTGCTCCTACTATGCACGCCAATTACGCAAAGCAACCGACTCACAGTATAGCGAGTTGGACATTAGCAACACTTCATCATACTATGTTTCACTCATACTTCACTTCATCATAC